GGCGGCTTTGAGTCACGTGTTCTATGGATTTGCTTTGTTATATTGGCCAACAGGGCAAATCAACCAATACTGGCGTAGGGGCAATCAAATCAGTCAAATCTTGGCGTTATTTAATTTATTGGCTTTAACGGCAGCGCTGCGGTCCTGCCCGTCACTTTGGAAACCAAACTGACTCTGTCTAGCTCCACACCGCGTAGTTGAGAAATGATGGCAAGACTTGTTCCCGTCGTGAGATTTGGCAAATGGTCGTCCACCGACGTTGGAACCCACTTGTTGCTGTCATTAGAGACAAAAACGTGGCCGTCTGAATCTTGGTAAGCTAGGAGACGGTGGACTCCGAGCCGCTGGAAGCCTTCCTCGTCGTCATAGAACGATTTGCTTATTGAAGCTGCTAGTTGCGAATTGAGAGATGCCGAAAGATTTGCCGTCGCAACGGAGGTTCTTGGGTACCATTCGACACTCCCTCTCTCACTATCATCTCTGATACCATGAAGAATTCTGTCAGTCCCGAGGTAGACGACCATAGTGTCGCCACATCCCCAGTCCGCGCACGAAAGAGCCGCCAATGGGGCGCCAGGTGGAAGCTCGACTCTTTCCTCTTCCTTCGAAGACGCGAATTTGAGTGTCAAGTTGACGGATTTCCACTCTGATGAAGTTGTCATTCGATAGCGTGTCATCAGGGCGCCATTACCGTCCTGAAAAAGGACAGTGTGCTGCATTGACCCATTAATGGTTCTGTTCGCGGCTGCAAGCCTCGTTGTGTCAAGAATGCTTCCTACAGCTTGTGCACTCTTGGAGGGGCTTTCCCCTTTTTGCAACCCACCAGCAACACCACCGGCGATGGCACCGATAACCACTAGCACACAGACGACGAGTACTGTAATGAAGATCCGTCGCGACAGACCACAAAACTTCCGTCCTCGTCCTCTCCTTACAGCATCAGTGTCCGAACTCGGTGGTTGCCCATCTGATAGCTCATAACTCTCCCCTGGAGGCTTGTGATGTTTTTTCGTGTCTGGTTGAAGATAGCGACCTTCGTCGTCCCATCTGTTGACTCCGGGGGTAGAGTTTACTTCAATACCAGACATCGCTTCGTGTGGTTGTCGAGGATTCCACTCGAGAGTGCTATAGCCTTGTATAGTAGCCATCGTTCTGGGATCGATACAGGTACTGATTGGGATGCGTGTGTCATGCGGTTGTGGGAGACTCCGTAGAAGACACATAGAGAAAATGGGGAAGCAGAACTAACTGTTGTCATTGTTATTTATTACATTTTTTCCCACTTCGCGTCCGTCTCGTTATCAGTACTTAAAATAAGATCAGGCTGCGGAAGATTGACGTCAAGCTCAGCCCCAACTGCAGTATTGCAAAGTAGATAAGAATTGGGGGCTTTTTTGTTCTCATTGGAAGCCTTCTCAAAAGCAATTCCAAATATCTCTAAAGGGAACGATTCTGGTCAGCACTAAGGCACGTACTCCTGCACGATTGAATGTCAGGTGTGAGGATTGTTTGTTGGTTCAATGATCGTCTCTTCAGCCTGCTGAAACAGGACTTGCCAACGCAGCTGAAGGACTCGGCGAAACAGCCCACATCAGGCTTTCCAACACAGTGAACTCGCCTCGAGCTCTCGATATTTCCGCAGTGTGACGTCTTTCCCCTACACTCTTGGCATGCGCGATCGATCGAGAACCCTACAGAGAACACGTTTTTTTCCAGTGCTAGAGCGATACTTTTTCTTGTGGCTATACATTCTTCCTTCCTATCGTCGTCGCTGCTGTTGTCATCGTTATCATCCCTAATTTCATCGTCGCTGCTATCAATCCTGTCATCACTTCTACTGTTATTATCTTTGACCTAAGTCACCAAGTCTGGGGTATATAGGGGTACATTCACTGGAAACCTCGGCGGTCTGGCTTTTATTGTTTCCATTCGACAATATTCAAACGAGGTTTATACTCCATGCATTGATTCAGGTAGACGGTGTGGTAAGAAAGTGATGACTTGGCTTAGATCGATTGATTTGAGAAGTACGGTCCAGGATTCAAAGTATCTATGAAACTTCTGAATCTCCCCATGGGCCATGTCTATTATGCAACTATGATCGACGATCTCTGGCGGTTCCAAAACTTTCTCTTCCTTGCCCTTTTAGCGGCAGAATCGTTCGTGCGCTTGTCGGACTGGAGCTCTTTGATTCTGAATAATTCTCCATACTCACTTTCTCGCTTTTGGCTTAGGATGTTGTAAAATTCCACAAGAACCTCACGGTAGCGTGACTCGATGATCTCGTTGATGCAGAGATCTTCGATTTCTGCCTGCTCTTGAAGCGACTCGACGTGTCGTTCAGAAACTGTAGAACGTGCTTGAGCAAATATGCCTGGATGGACCTGGCGATCTGAAAGCCATTCGGCCGTCGAAGGCTCGTCTTCACCCGCTCGGAAATGAGCGATATCGTAAAGATGATCTTGTAGATCTCTGATCGATGTATCGAGTTTTCGTGTGGCGTATTCATCCATGCAAGCGATCGCGAGATTTGAGTAAGCCATTTTTGGTGAGTTTGACTGGACAATATCGAGCGATGCGAAAACAACTTCTAGGTAAGGCGACGCTTGTGATGCAGAAGAATTCAGACTTGGACCTTCTCTGAGTATTATATGCTTTGGGACTTTTGGGGTTTTCAGGGCCTTCCTATGGCCACCAACTTTTCTTTCATGCCATAAATATTTAATCTTCAGTATTATCTGTGATACCTATGTTTTTTGATGACGAGGAATCTTCACCGGACTTCCGAAGAAATTTCCTTTGGCCTCCAAGTTTGAGGTCATGGCCAAAGCTTTGCGGCAACCAAGATCTCACAAAGATTTCCAGGGAGCTGTCCAGGCCGGTCTCAAGCGGCCTCTCAGCCCTGCCAGAGGTTTCACTGATAGGATAAAGGGAATCCTACACAACAGCATTGTTCTGATTGGTCCGATGAAGAGAACTAATTTCAGCCTCAAGCTTTGACCTCAACCTTTGCGTCACGACACTCCTCTGGTAACATGTGCCGAGGCTATTGTCATATTACTGTTGAACTCCCCATCGCCTCTGATGGCTAGCTGCCTTGTAGAAAACAAGTTGCTTTCTAAGCCGTCTCTAGACCGTCAGTTTCATACCATGCTTTCTTCTCAGGTAGGTACATACATCAAGAGACGCCAAATCCAGTATACGCCTGCCACAGGTAATCAGATTTCTTTGACCAGAGACTTGCAGTCCTTGGCAGTCATTGGCGCATTAGCGCCGCTTCTGCTGACTAAACTCCCTAAAATGGTTTCCCCCTGCATATCGCAGTCATCAATCTCTTTGACAACATTACAAGAACTCAAATCCTTTCATCGTGATAGCCGTTTACATCTTGAGAAAGCTTAGCTTTTGAGACTGCAAAATGTCTACTCAAAACCTCGAAACCGACCAGGATGCGAAGACCATCTACAACTACCATCGCATGGGCATGCCCCTCCGCCCCGCCTCCGCCGTATTCTGCCTCTGCAGCCTGGATACACGCGTAGCTTCCCGCGCTGCTCAGCTCTTCCTCGACGGGTACGGCGACTACCTTATCTACTCGGGCGGTGCAGGAAAGCTTACGGAGAGTCGTTTCTCAAAGCCCGAAGCTGAAGTCTTCGCGGAAATCGCGCAGGGTATGGGCGTTCCGCACGACAAGATCATTGTTGAGCCCCTGTCGACGAACACTGGCGAGAATGTGCGCTTCACGTATGCATTGTTGAAGGATAAGGGATTGAAGGCCGATAGCTTCGTCTTGGTACAGAAGCCTTACATGGAGAGACGCACTTATGCGACATTCCGGAAGCAGTGGCCTGATGCGCAGACGGAGTTTACGGTCACCAGCCCTGAGTTCGGGTTTGAGGATTACTTTGACGCAGAAAACCCCAAGGAGCTTGTCGTGAACATCATGGTGGGAGATCTTGTAAGGATTCGGGAGTATCCAGCAAAGGGGTTCCAGATTGAGCAGGAAATTCCAGAGGAGGTGTGGGAGGCCAACTCGAGACTCATCGCTGTGGGCTATGATGGACATTTGCCATGAACAAGGTCACATATCTGACGCTTCGATATCGTCGATCAGTTACTAGTGGAATCATCATTCCGATGAGTTGCAGATTACAAACATTGAAGTCACATTAAGATACTGGGTCCAGCAAGGGCGTGGGGTACGGGCAGTTAGCGGGGTGTGGGAAAGCCGGCCCGCTGTGGGATGAAGTTGGGATGAGCCCTTCATAGGTTCCTGGCCTCAGAACGGTAATGAGACGACATCTGATTCACTTGCGTCAACTGCCGGTCCTGCACGCTGTCTTGATGTTCCGTTTGATTTCCAGTACCCAAACTTCCGATATCTCGCAGGGTAATCCCTCCTCCTCAACTCGTGTACGGGTTTCAATCGGCTCAATGAACATTTGATCTCCAATGTCTTGGCGGATATACGACGTCTCATCCCACCAAAGTTTGCTCTACTCCGTACTTAAGGTTTACGGTAATCCGTGCGCCCGACTTCAAACGATTCCTCGTTGCGGGGCTGGCTTGTGAACACTTAAATCTCTAGGCCGTCCTACAGATTTGACATACAATAGCTTGTCGCGTTCTACTGGTTGGAGCAAGTGTGCTGTTTGACATTCATTCTAGATTCACTCTTTCTTCTCGCATTGCCCTTGACTTTCACTCATTAGCAAGGGCGAATTCCTGCATCATGATTCGAAATGCTCTAGGTCGTGGGGCTAAACGGGTCCAGGCTCAATCAGCCCAAGCCGAAGCCCCCCAATTTGCGGAGGTCACCTGGTGGAAGGACCCAGGGTTGAGAAAGTTGTACTTTTGGTGTGCCATCTTGATGGCCATGTCTGCGTCCACCGGTTTTGACGCGTGAGTTCTAACGACTGACTATTTTTTTGCGACGGAACGAAGTCAAGCTAATCAAGCGCAATTGCAGGAAGCTTATGAACACTTCCCAAGTAATGGATCAATGGCAGACTTCATTTGAACATCCGACTGGAGGACGACTTGGGATCATCGTTGCGATTCTCGACATTGGGTCTCTGTGCAGCTTCTGGATGGTGTGAGTCTAGCAGAAGAACGGGTGTTGTCAGAGAAATTGAGAGGGACTGATGATCGAATCAAACGACTAGGCCATTCTTTGCGGACAATTATGGCCGCAAGGTACCCATTATCATCGGCTGTGTCATTGAAACCATTGGAGCATTCATCGGCGCTTTCTCGAGCAGCCAAGGAAGTATGCTTCAGTTCAAGACCCCCCGAATTATTGGCAGCAAAGGCTTACCATCGAATCAACGTGACAGTGTACATGGCCGGTCGCTTCATCCTCGGGTTCGGCAGTTCGTTCAACGGAGCCGGTCTTCTCATCGCCGAGATTGCTCATCCCCAACACCGCGCCAAGATTTCTGCCATTGTCAACTGCATGTACGGCGTTGGATCCACGTTCTGCGCCTGGCTCGCACTTGGCACCATCAAGATTTCCACCGAGTGGTCGTGGCGATCCTTGACCATCCTTCAAGCGTTTCCTGGACTTCTTGTGCTGTCCCTAATTTGGTGGATACCGGAGTCCCCCCGTTGGCTTATCGCCAAGGAGCGTTACGAGGAGGCGGAGCAGATGCTTGCCAAATACCATGGAAACGGAGACAGAACAAACGAGACTGTCGCTTTTGAGTTCCGTGAGATGAAGCAAACACTGGCTCTGGAGTTCCAACATGGGAGGTCAAGCAGCTACTTGGATTTTGCGAGATATGCTGGAAACAGGTACCGAGTGGTTATCTTGATTTCGCTGGCAATGGTGTCTCAATACAGCGGTACTAATCTGTTTTCTAACTACGCCAACAAGATTTACGAGGGCGCTGGTATTAATGACCAGACGAACAAAGTACTTGTAAGTCGCGAGCACTCTCAAAGAATCCACGTACTGACCACCTCGGCTTCGATAGCTTAGCGGCGGCCAAACATTGATGTCACTCGTTGTATCGGTCGGATTCTCCCTCACTATCGACCGCTTCGGCCGTCGGCCGCTATTCCTTACCGCCACCACGGGGATGGTTTTCATGTACATGGGCTGGACGATCGTCAGCTCCCAATACGAACGAACTCATGACCTCGGCCGGTTTGGATATCCACAGATTGCCTTCATTTGGCTCTTCAGCCTATCTTATCAGATCGCATGGACTGGTATCATGGCCGCCTACGCATTGGAAATCATGCCGTATAGCCTGAGAGCTAAGGCGGGGGTCATCTCGACAATTTTCGTCAAGGGATTGATTGTTCTTGGGAGGTGAGTCAAGAAATGCACCAGTACTAAATCATATCTGGGTGCAAGATACTGACGAGTAATACCAGCTATACCAACCCAATCGCATGGGACAATTTTACAGCGGCAGGCCATGCTTGGGTTCTTGCAATGTTTTATACCGTAAGTAAATAGCATGACCTCATACTCTTTGAAGAATTCTGACATATTGCAGATACTAGACTTCTGCTACCTGCTGTTCGTCTACTTCTTTTATCCGGAAACGAAGAACCTCACACTCGAAGAAGTTGCCAGAGTCTTTGATGGAGACGACGCAAAGGTAGCGCAAGTGGATATTGAGGAGGTCAAGAAGGAGTTGGAGGAAGAGCAGAAGAAAGGGGCACAGGTTGACGTGAAAGCGCTATGAAATCTTATGTGTCTGTCTTAGAGACCTAGTTGGTCAAGCATTGACTACGATGCATGATTGTTCTACAGATAAATGTTCATTAAATCTACCTTATTGCTACTTCTCATTCGGTATGTCAAAATCCGCCTTTGCACCCTTTGCAATAGCATCGTCCGTGAGAACACGGACGGCAAGCATAGCCATACCCTTGGCACACTTGATTGCCGCAGCATGAGCCTCATCCGTCGCCGCCGCAGCTGCAAACTTCGGGTTGTGCCCTGCGACATCCGGTGATGTTGGGATGACAAAGGCGCCGTGGAAACTGGGAACGAGGTGAGATACATTGCCCATGTCTGTAGAGGCGTTGAACGGCTCAGCCTGGTGAAGCTTGATGGTCTCCCCGATAGCCGCCATGTCTTCGACGTATGTCTTGCATAACGTGTCGTTGGCGCGAAGGTTGGCATACGTCGGCGCGCTGATGATTCTATCAGCAAGAGCAGCGGAAGATCTAGAGGTAACTTACACGATGTAGTTGATTTCACAACCTGTGGCGGCAGCACCAGCCTCAAGACAGGCCTTTGTCCTCTTTAACAAAGCATCGGCGCGAGCAATCGTTGGGCTGCGCACGTTCCAGTTCATCCTGGTGTAGTCCGTAATGACATTGGGGACGGTGCCTCCAACTTCGATGACACCGTGAATTCTCTCATCAGACTGAATTTGCTGTCTTAGAAGAGCGACGTTGCTGTAAGCTGCAACCGCTGCGTCCAGCGCATTCAAACCCTTCCACGGCTCACCAGCCGCATGCGCCGGCTTTCCGCGGAACTCGACTCTGAACTTGTGGCTTGCAATCAGCTTGAAGCCTGCCAAACCCGACGACCCGTCACCACTTCCGCCTTGGTGCGCTGCTGTGGGATGGGCCATAATAGCCGCGGCGACATCTTCAGGTGGGTTGAATGCGCCGGCATCGATGAGCTTCGCCTTGCCACCACCGCCCTCTTCTGCTGGAGTACCAAGAATGCGCAAGCGACCGGGGATCTTCAACTCTGACAACGCCTGCGCCGCTCCCAGGAAAGCTGCTATCGATGAAGTCGCGATGAGGTTGTGGCCACACGCGTGCCCAATGTCAGGCAAGGCATCGTACTCGGCACAGACAACGACCTGGCGGCCACCGGTGCCGATCTCAGCTTCGAAGCTAGTTTCTAGACCATACGTGTGCCTCTTCACCGTGAATCCCTGCTTCTCGAGATAGTTGGTGATTGTTTCGTGGGCGAAAAATTCCTTGTAGGCGGTTTCCGGGTTTGCGTGGAGCGTCTTGTTGATATCATTGTGTAGCGACGAGTTCAGGTCGTCGAGATGAGAGTTGATGATAGCGCGCGCCTTTTCGAGATCGAACCCCTGCGTTGTTTCTAACGCCTGGTTGGTGGTCTGCTCGCTTGCAGGAGCAGCGGCAGGGATCTCAATGGTTGACATGCTGGACGGCTGAGGATGATGTGGTTGCAATGTCAACGACGCAGAGTTCAGGATCGCAGAAGACACACTTCGAGCTGAAAAGGAACTCAAAAACGGGCAAGCTCTCTTTTTGACAGATGGGCAGCCGATGGACCTCAACATACGACTCTCGCCACGTTCCAGAATAATCACGGTATCTTTACGAATTACAGCATCATGAGCCGGGTGCGGAGCAGCGCTATCAATGAGCAAAGAGACAGGGATACTCCAACTGGAGAACTGGCGCAAGAGCCCACCGGCAATCGGAGCTCTCAACTTGCCGACCACCAAGACGAATCTGCAAAAAGATAGCCGACGGTCGGCAGTTTTGGCAGCATTTTCAACCTGATAAACAATCCGCCCATCGCCTAAACGGCGGCGCGCAGGCGACGACAGCCAGCCACCTCCACTTGGTTCATCTGATCAGTCAGTCGACTTTGTCTCTTTGACCTTCTTTGAGCACAAAACACAACGCTCTTGTCTCGTCGGCTATTTCGAGAGCAAACTGTTACACAACAGATATTCGCAGGAACACAGGAAGAGCCCGTTGTATATCCATCCAAACGAACCCACATCAAAGCGCATGTCCATCCATATGCGCGCCATCGCACACAAGTCACAACGAGTCGCTTTGAGAACCGCCTAAACCCGAACACCGGTCAAAGGGCCCCCAGCTCTTGGCCTCCACTCTGACGCCTCAGAAACCCGCGACAATATCGCCGACACAGCCGACCACTGCTCAGTCTTTAGGCGACCGCCAATGAGCTCTTCGCCCACGGAGCACGAGGGGAGCTCTCCTGGTGGTGATAGCAGTAGTCCGGCGACTGCAGCCGACGATGCTGCCGCGGCTTCCACGCCTGATGACCACCATGCCGCCGCAGCCGACGAACACGCAGAAGAAGCCGATCCCACCACCCACCCGGGCACGGCGTCGGCTCCGGCAATGCGCACGGGCGAGGGCCGGAGTGGACCGCGGTCGAGGAACGGCTGCTGGACGTGCCGCACCAAGAAGGTTAAGTGTGACGAGCAGAGGCCGAACTGCCACCGCTGCACCCGCTTGCGGCTCCTGTGCGATTATGCACCCCGCATGAAGCTCACCAAGCGAGGCAAGAAAAGCAAGGATCGGCTGCTATCATCCGTCTCGTCGGCTGCGTTTGGAGAGGTGAGGTCGCCCGGCTTGCCGAGCTGGGCGCAGGCCGTCGCGGACCTGGACCAGAGCAAGACGCTCTCGCTCTTCAACCCGTCGGCTCCGGCTACGGGCGTATGCGCGTTGGATCTGTCGTCGGCTGATCACGAGGCGATCCGCTACTTTCGCACGAGCTTTGCTAAGCTCAATCACACCAAGAACCCGGACTTCTCGCTGTACTCCATCATGTTCGACATTGCGCAGACGGATCCCATGGTCATGCACGTGGTCCTCGCTCTGGGCGGAAGAGAGCTGGAGTTCCGCCGCAACAAGGATGCTGAGGAAGCCCGGGGCCCGAGAACGCCTCTGCAGCATTACTCGTCGGCGTTGAGAATGATGGCTGACACCATTGGCAGCGACGGTAACGATCCGCTGGATCTCGATTCAGTCTGCACGGCGTTGTATCTCATGCTGCTCTATGAGCAAAAGTATGGTGACGGAAAGTGCCAGGGTCTTTCAAACCATCTCACCGGCGCAAGCTTGATACTCCAACATCGATTCAAAGATCTGCTTCTCCAACTACCGGCCCCCTCGCCCGAGACCAGCAGGAAAAGCTTAGCCCTTACCCGGCGGGGCCAAGACGAGAACGGATCGCGGCTGTCGCTGTACTCGGCGCGCATGCTGGTCTGGATTGCCCTGCATGATGCAGCTGCAGCATCGTACGGGCTAGGCGGGCAGTTGAACTGCGCTCTGCACAAGATCATGGGCGCCCTGGATGCCAGCAACGGCATCACTCGGACCGGGATCCCCAACAGTCCTTTCCAGCCGCTCGACAGCTTCGAGAGGTTGCATCGCTTCTCGAACCCGCTGTACCGCAGCATGTGGGCAGATGCGTATCCTCAAGCCGAGCTTCTAGACGACGTCGAGAACCGCAACGTGTACGCATTCCTCGGCGCGTGCAGCCAGCTGCGCTTCATGATTGCCCAGCTTGCGAACCTGTCAAACGACGAGGACGAAGCTTCGCAACAACAGCGCATCATGGCAGTGGACATGACCATCCAGCAGGTTGGCTGGAAGTTCACCGAGCTCCTCGAAGTCGCAGCGGAACTGTCCATCAGCACGGACAACTCCCACCGTCTCGTCGCCAACATCCGCGGCATCGTCCCACACTACCATGCCGTCGTACTCGAGTTCCTCCGCCTGACTCGCTTCAACGAGACCCCGATGCTCTCCACACGCCAACGCAATGCCCTCCGCGAGATCATGAACCTGGCTTTCCAGGCCTTCAAGCACGAAGGCGACGAGTCCATGACACGCATCGCGTGGCCGCTGTTCATGGTCGCGCTGGAGACGGATGACTTGCTGCACCGGGAGTGGGTGCTCAGCCGGTTCCAGGGCATGAGTCGGTTCGGCAAGAACCTCGACCGCGCTCATGCCTTCTTGAAAGAGATTATTGAGATGCAGAATAAGCTGGGCAGACGAGTTGATGTGCGCGAGCGGTTCCAGTCCGGCGAGGTGGGGTTGTTTGTTATCTGAGACCTCCGGTAGGCTGCCTGGTCTTTTTGACAGCATCCCCGCCACTTGAGTCTTTCAACCAATGCCGTGCGTGACACGATGATCCGCCCCCTTGGACGTTGGTTTCCCCGCATTGCTGAAGGATCCGGCCGGGGTCGTGGACCATGGCGTGGGATCGGCTAATGTTTAAATGCAAAGTCGCGTCGGCTATCGTGTGTTATCAGCGGCTATCAGTCACGCGGCGAATTCGATGGAATAACACCACGAAGTAATCCGGACGACGTCTATCACTGCCGCGCGGAAACGATTTCCGTGGACAACCAGCTGTGCGATTCCGCATTGGGACGGCCGGGTTCGGACACCCATCCTGTCGAGTTGAGCTGCTGTGATAACGATCACGCGTTCACCGTCTTAGCTTCGATGTCGGGGTATTGCTGATCGACTTATAAGATCTTCTTCACCCATCGTCCCTGCGTTGCATCTGAGTCGTAACCCGGAGTTCAACCTACTGCATCCTAGCTCCCTTCGCCTTCAATTGTCCGCAAAGATGGCGGAAAAGATGGAAAAGACTCCCATCGACGATGTCGGTCAGGCGGACCAGACACTCAAAGACATTGGCGAGGGGTTCATCTCTGGCCAAGGCTTGACCCCGGAGGAGGACAAGAGGATCCTTCGCAGGATTGATATGTGGTAAGTGATACCTCTGTGCTTCAATCTTGGAAAGCATTCATTGACTTAGCATCACAGCCTCTTGCCTGTCATGGCTATGTCGTACCTCTTCCAGTTCCTCGACAAGTCCGCGCTGAGTTACACCGCCATCATGGGTCTCAGAGACGACATGGGCCTTTCCGGTTCCGAGTACTCCTGGGCGAGTAGTATCTACTACTTCGGGTACCTCGTCGCTTCATACCCTGCCGGCGTCGCTATGGTTCGCCTCCCTGTCGGCAAGATGATTGCCACTTCAGTGTAGGTTAAGCCCTTGGCTACATAATTGGCGAGTGCAGGCTAACATCTCAGTCTTGTCTGGGGCATCATCTTGATGTTGACCGCCGTCTGCTTCAATGCCGCCGGCTTGCTCGCGAACCGCATCATGCTCGGTGTGGCTGAAGCGGCCATCGCACCCGGCCTGTCCATCGTCGTCTCCATGTGGTACAAGCGCTCCGAGCAGCCTCTGCGACATGGAGCTTGGTTTCTCGGAAATACCATCGCCGGCATCTTTGGCGGCGTCGTGGCTTACGCCATCGGTCATATCGAGAGCATTGCTCCTTGGAAGGTTTGCCGCTTCCCTTTCCATGCTTATCGGCAACCGCTAATTTCATATTCAGGCCGTCTTCCTCATTTTCGGAGGCATCACCACCGCCTGGTCTTTCACTATCTTCTTCCTCCTCCCCGATACCCCCACCAAAGCCCGATTCCTCAACGAGGCCGACCACATCAAGGCTATCGAGCGCGTGGCGGAGAACATGACCGGCATCAAGAGCGACACATTCAAGTGGAACCAGTGCATCGAGGCCCTCACGGACATCAAGGCCTGGCTTCTCTTCACAATCCAAATCAGCGCGCAGATCGCCAACGGCGGCGTCCACGGGTTTGGGTCCATTGTGATCAAGGGCATGGGCTTCAGCACGCTCAACACCCTACTGGTGCAGATGCTCGGGTCCGTGTTCCAGCTCGTCTTTGTGCTGATGGCTACCGGAGGAAGCACCTTTTTCAAGAACAGCCGGACGTACTGGATGGCGTGGAACCTGGCTGTGTCGATTGCAGGCGCGGCCATGGTGAGGCAGATCACGCCCGAGTTGAAGTGGGCGAGGTTCATGGGGTACTGCTTGACGATCGCGTACAGCGCCAATTTCCCGATGATTTTGTCCATGTCTTCGGGCAACTTTGGCGGGTTCACTAAGAAGACTACTGTAAACGCCATGGTGAGGGCTTCTTCCAATTTTCTGACGACATTTTAGGACTGACTCAGACAGATCTTCATCGCGTACTGCGCCGGAAACATTATCGGCCCTCAGCTCTTCTTCGAATGGGAGGCACCGTCATACAGGTCTGGATTCCTGGCCATGTTGATCTGCTATGGCATCGGAGTTCTCACGTGCTTTGCGCTCCGATACTATCTCATCTGGGAGAACAAGCGCAGAGACAGCATCGGAGAGGTTCTCGATGTCGGGGTCGGGGACCATGTCCCGCTGAACCTGCTTGACAAGACGGATAAGGAGATTCCTCAGTTCAGATATGTGTACTGAGGTATGTTGTCACGATGCAGAATGAATCTTCAGTGGAGTCAAAGATGTCCGAGCGAGGCGTAGGCATCAATCTGTGGAGCAATAGGACTGATTCTATTCGATTCTCCCGATAAATTGTGATACCATAATGGAACGATTTTTCATTCCAGTTCCCAGACGAGTGGCTCCTCGTCCCTCATCTCGCGCCATCGATTAGTTGCCCTCATCACATCCTCACAACCCTTCAGTAGGAATCCCCATTTTGCGACGAACTTCTCAGTGACTTCCCAGCCATCCGGATGCCATGGATCCGACCAGGCTATGATGCCCGGTTGGTCGCTACATTGAGTGCTGTCCGAGCAGCCCACGAGATCGATGCACATCTCATGGTGATCGTAGCTATCTCGATAGCGAATGGCGTTGTCTCGCATGCCCCCTGACGGGAATATGTCTATCCAGCTTTCGTGCACTGTCGAATTCTGCAAAGCAGTAGGAAGCAGTGTGGGCGGGATCGAGGACGGGGCGGGGAAGAGGGGGGTGGTATGGAGGTCTGGGGTGCAGGGGCTTTCTAGGAGAGAGGTGAGAGAAAGAATGTGAATGTTGGTGATTGTCGCTCGAAAGACGTTGTAGTAGACCAGCGGGATGAGATGGTCTCTGTATAGGGGGAACCAGTTGGCGGGATTCCGATAGTATGGTGGAATCGTGCCGGGGAGTTTCGATTTTGCCCGAAGCTTTGAGGTGGATGGGCGATGACGCGACGAACGGACTATCGCATGAACTTCTTGTGCGTCTGCTACCTCATTTTCATTTCCAGAAGACTTTGATTGGTCTTCAGGCCCAAGCTGGCATGACTTCGCTGGCGGGACCCATTGGAGAATCTGGATTCTAGGCGCTGAGCCAGCAGTTTGGACCGCCCTCTCCCATGAGAAATCTCCGTCACTCTGTGTTTGACTTTGTTTCTTCTGGAGAGCTTCTAGGGCTTTCTTCTTTCCTGCTCGACTATTCCGTCATCAAAGCTCGTTGGAAATAGGGTAGATTACATACTGTGAGCTCGAACGTTCAAGCGATTCTGTCTTTTCCGTCGCTCTGCCCTGTCACGAAGCCCAGTCCAGTCGTCATCCGGACACTGAGCCTCCCCAGAGTGGAGCATCGGAGGGAGAACATTGACAGGCACTTTCGGGACGTGGCCATGCATGATGCCCAGAATTCGGGTGGATGCGTTGTTGAAGGTTGTGATACTGCAGGTTGCTTACGGCTTTTGACCTAGAATGAACATACGTGAAGATTTTGGAGTGTGCAGTCAAAAGAATGTCCCCAGTACTTATCTGCTTACGGCTTGGAAGAAGTAGATGGTTGTGCAGGGATTAGCTGCGGCGGTGATCCTCTAGGAGCGACACGATTCTGCAGTGTGCTTACAACGCTATTCCTGATAAAGATCACTGTCATCAATGGCTTTCATCAGCCAATCAAAGGAGATCGAATCATTTGTTAGACCAAGAATCTAGCCACCGAAACCAGCCGTGGCATGCACACGGGGCAACTTCATTCCGAGTGTGTGGAAAGCTCCGCCGATGTGAGCCACGATGAAGCGTTTGCTTGTCCTAACAGTCTAGTTGTGAAAGATAGTGGGTGCTCCACGTAAGATCCATTCACTGTTGCACATTGAATACTGAGAAGCCTGCCAGAGGATTGATGATGGGACAGGACCATCCGACGATGTTGCGAATCATCCTTGAGATTCATTGATGTTTAGACTTTTCTATAACTACAGGTGATGATACAATCTTCTATCGAAAGAGTACGTTCTTACTCCTGCGAGGCCGTCTCGGACGACTCGCCCTCTTTCTCGGTCTTCTCCTGCGCCTTCTTTTCAATGGTGGTCTGCTTCTCCCACATGGCGTGGTAGCGGCCTTGCAGAGACAACAGCTCGGAATGCGTGCCGCGCTCGACAATCTTGCCCCTGTGGAGGACAACGATCTGGTCGGATGTGGTGATCGTGGACAGCCGGTGGCTGTTGGATGTGTCAGCAGGAAGTCACTTCGTTGAGTATGCAAGCTGGGAGTCGACTTACGCAATCGTGATGGTAGTTCGTCCGGCAGTCACGCGCTCCAGGGCATCCTGGATCTGTCGCTCGGTGTGAGAGTCCAGAGATGCGGTAGCCTCGTCCAGCAGCAAAATGCGGGCGTCTTTTAGAATAGCTCGCGCGATGGCAATCTAGGGCATGTTAGAATGATGTATTCTGCACTTGGGGGCGGGGTATACGTACTCTCTGGCGTTCACCTCCAGACAACTTGAGACCACGCTCACCAACCTTGGTCTCATATCCATCAGGGAAGTTGAGAATACGTTCGTGAATGTTCGCGGCCTTGCAAGCCTCGAAGACGTCGGCCTCGGACGCCTTGGGGTTGGCGTAGAGGAGGTTGTACATGATCGTCGCGTTGAAGAGAACGGTATCCTGCGGGACGACACCAATGTTCCTGCGGAGGCTGTCAAGCTTGAGATCCTTGATGTCGTGGCCATCAACAGTGACAGCACCCTCCTGGACGTCGTAGAAGCGGAACAAAAGCTTGAGTGAGGTCGACTTGCCGCTGCCGGACTCTCCAACGATGGCAGTCTTGGTGCCGGGGGCGACGGTGAAGCTGACACCATCGAGGGCGGGATCGCCCTTCTTCGTCTGGTAGGAGAACTTAACATTGTTGAAGGCAACCTCTCCCTTAGGAGACGGCAACGCGATAGCATCGGGCTTCTCGACGATACCGGAGGTTTCTTTGAACTGCAACGCATCAGTAGGTTACTCTCAAGCACTGGTGAGGAGGGCTTACGAGATCAAGCATTCGCTCCGCTTCGATGAGATTGTTCTGGAGCATGGTGTAGTAGGTGCCAAAGAAGTTGAGAGGGCCCTGAAGCTGAACAAAGTAGTTGATCAAGCTGACGAACTCGCCGACAGTCTGCTCGCCAATGGAAATCTTGTAGGCTGACACGGCAACGAGCAGTGCGGTTCCGAGGGAGAAGATGGAGCTCTGCGTAAGGTTGAGACCGTTGAGGGACCACTGCACGAGTCGCTCGGCCCTCTGGTACACCACGACATGCTCCTTGAATCGTTGCGTCTCTGGAACGACAGCGTTGTTGTGCTGGACCGTCTCGTATGCCATGATGGCGTCGGTCTTGATGGCCTCCATCTCACGCATCTTCGTGGCCATGTCCCTCCTCTGCTTGCCGCGGTACTTGGCGACGTAGATAGTGAGGAAGATGTAAGACCACATAATGAAGAAGACGATGATGGTATAGAACGCATCATACTTGACGAAGAAGAAGACGCCAGCGACGAAAATGTCAAAGACCATGGGGAACACTTGGAAGCAGAAGTTCTCGAGGAACGTGTTCATCGCAGCACCGCGGCTCAGGGCGCTGGTGACCTCACCAATCTTCTTGTTGAGGTGGAACTCCAGAGAAAGGCCCAGGACATGCTCAAAAGCGGCGCAAGAGAGCCTGCGGAAGAGAGATTGCGAGACGGGGATCCAGAGGACGGATCTCAGAGCACCGAGGATTCCCTGGTTACCCTGAAGCGCGCGGAAGACGACATAGAGGATGATTTCTCGGTAAGGAATGCCACCGTGGCCGAGTTCGTCGACGAGGGAGCCGAGCAAGACGGGAGCGAAGACGTTCACGGTGCGCTGCAGGATGAGAATGACCAAGCAGAAGACGACGATTGCCTGGTAAAGGGGTGAGTCCTTGGGCCTGGATACAGTCAGCAGATGAACTACATTCACAGCGTTCGGCCGCCTTACCAGAGATAAGGGAAGAGAACTTTGAAGCCAGCAAAGTAATCGAGCCAACCGGTGCCCTGGACCTGTTGCCTGGGTCCAGCGGGCGGGCCGTGAGGGTGGGCGCCTCCATAATTGGCCGAGCCGTTGCCGTTCTGCAGCAGGGATTGTCGCTCTTCCGGGGTTGACCTAGGCGTTGACGGTCGCAATCGGTATTCCCGGAACGCCAGCGCGATAGACATGAACAGGATGAGTGCGATCCGGGCGAAGCCTAGGGAGGACAGAGAGTCTAGAAGGGGTTTCGACACTCGCAGGTAAGGGTGCTCCGAGAAGAAGAGGGCGGCAATCACCGCTTCGAAGAGGATGGCGACGATCCAGGCATAGGCGTGGCATGCAGTCGGCACCCATGGTCCCTCGGGATCAGGAAGCAGGCCAGCGAGGAAGTAGAGGAGGACCGCGACGTATGACGCCTATGTTTCGGTCAATTGGCTGCATCGCGAAGATCAGCAGAGGTTGGCACATACAATGTAAGCGGCGAAGGGAAAGTCGACCTTGGCCGGGCCCTCATAGTGGCCGCCGAACGCCTCACGGACGGCGACGATGGTGCTGGCAAACTGGGAACTTGTGAGCCTCGACGTGATCTTCGCCTCGATCAAGATGAAAGTCTTCTCACCAGAACAGCGGAAAGGATCAGTTGGAAGAACCAGATGAGGCGGTTGTAGAACTTGCGCAGGGCGACGGCCTTCTCGTCCGGCGCGTCCCGGCGCGGTCCGCCACGTCTTTCGCGCCAGAACTGGACGGACTGGGCCCCCAGCAGGGCGACGAAGAGACCGCAGGGATAGAGGTAGAAGGCCACCTGCAGCCCCAATTGCATCCCCGCCATGATTTGGAGGCGCTAGTTGCGATGGTTGGGCATGGAAATGGGTTCGGTTTTGATGGAAAACGGTTGGGATGGCATCGGAATGTTCTGACTGGACTTCTGTTCAGATTCTCCGACGAAGAAGCAACCTCCTTGTTCAACGCCGCGCCCGCGCGCACGGATGACATGACGGACAAGCACGCGGACTCCGTCAATTACGTCAGCATCTCCGGATTAGTCATCAATCATGTTCGCCAGTTGATGCAAATAGTGAAAGACAAAAAGATGTTCTTCATACTTCTGTTTGTACATAGAATATCTCATCGATAAGAAGCCTGTTTGATACTTTGATGTTTTTTCGAAAGCGAATTTGATTGTACTCCTCATTAACAAGTCTTTCGGTCAACAGTCGGTGAATAATACTTCATGTGTGGAAACTCCGCTGGCCAAGATCGCCACACTAAATCGAACACAGGGGTTCAGGCCTCCACCAACATAAGGCAGAACTATTCGGCAGATTGTTACAGAAAAACCGTTCAGCGCTCTTTCAAGCCAATACCATGCATTTTTTAACGCTGCGTACTCAAGTAAATCGAGAAAAGTGTAATGGCATTCCCGGAGATAGGAGGCTCACTAATCCCCGACCGACTATCCAGGATCTCTGAATGGGGAAGCAGATCGTACAGCTTTTGCTTTCTTGGCCGGGCCGAACCGTCGTGCCACGTCAAAGTTCGTGACGCGGTAGCCTGGAATATTGATGTTGCATTTTCACTTGGACAAGATGGGCGACAAGGATTTCACAAAGCAGGGCTTTTGATTAATTCGTAGTTAACAACTCCCGTTCGCTGGGTTCCGGCTGTTTACGCGGCTCATGATAGGCATTTAGTTCTTGCCTATGACTTGAATGCCGACGGACTATTCCATGATCCTACTTTCATGGCATGAATCGTGTAATCAGTCTGTGGGTGACTTCCTGGACAATACTACGTCTTGGGAATGATTTAGTCGGTACCGATCTGAATGAGGCTTAGTGAGATGCCATCGGCACGTGTCCCTGTTGATCACAAACATTGGCATTGTGGAAAAGGTGAGCGGTCAACTATTCAAGTGGATAGCGAACCAGGGAAACTGACTGATGCTCAGCTGTACAATGACTCGCCACGGTGAGTGTCAAGTTAAGCAGTTGAGATTATGAGTTCAGTCTGTGAATGAATCTGGCGCTACTTCGAAGCAAATGTCAATGCCACAAATCGAATGACATTGCGTGTACAACGCGACGTGAAATTGCCCTTGGGCATGGCTTGAAAACCAAAACGCATCAACTAGCACTCAGTTCAACTTCTAAAACAAATTTGATCAGAGCGACAGTGGATAGAGCTAGAGAGGTGGATATCTCCATATCTCAAGACCCATATTCATCGGTGGGAAGAATCTACCAAGGGTATTGACAGCCTTACACCGTCCGTGACCTCCGATCATAAATCATCTGTCCATTCGACACGTAGCCAAAGGGTCCAGGCTTCATCGGTCACTATATAAGTACCTCGCACTGCCATAGCTGAAAATGTTGCCCGCCTCTCAGCTGTTACATCACCATATTTCCCTTCGCCTTACGACCCGATCAAGTCCATAATATTGTTAATATGAAAGCCTGCAAGGTTCTCCTCCCGTTCACTCTCCTAGGCACTGCCCTGGGAGTCGATATGGCCAAGTACCAGGCTGGGTCAGGCGTCGACGCCTCTTTCGAGCCGTTCCTTGAGTCGTACGTCAATCCTCTTCATTCCTGGGTATATTTTTATTTCAAGTGCTAACTGAAGGCTTCCTCAGTTTGTACGCTTTCGCCGAAGACCACACCTCCACCGACACGTTCACGGACTTTTTCGTCCCGGACACGGGCCGTCTGATTGTGCTCGAGAACACAGCGGAGGGACCGGACGCGATTGTCAAGCTCAAGCAGGCTCTGCTCCCCACAACAGGCGAGAAGCAGTGGAACCATCTGCCGAACGCTACGACGGTGCACTCGGAGACTTCTACCGAGAAGATCTACAATGTGCTCGGTGTTATCCAATCGCGATTCACCGGTGGCAACTGCTCGGTTGCATAGTAAGCACTCTCCCCCGCTCTCGGCCGAGTTGCCGCTATGACATTTAACGACAGTCGGACTCTGCTAACAGATCATCTGCACCTAATAGCTACTCTAGCCGCTTCACCGTGCTCAAAGACAGCGACGGAAAGGTCCGCAACGAGGCTCACAGCGGCTCGCTTGTGTTGTACGATGACTACGTCGTCGACCCGCCTCATTCGCCGACGAACATTCCCTGCTAAATCAATGCGCAACATGCGGCTAAGACGATGTAAATGTGGTGTAAATACGCTTGATGGATGATGAGCTTTGGATACTAGATATACCTGGACGACATGCATGGTTTCAGTTGCTGTTATGAGCATACCGCTTCATTCCCTAGAGCTATTGCTCAGGCTACATCCTACATGAACCCCAACAATTACGACATAATGACACTCCACTCTATATTCGCCTCTCTGAAACCTTTGTCATGCCTTCCTCTGGTCAAGAGATGGCGCTGAATCCGTCCCCCAAAAGTCCTTAGCGTTCGCGATGATTACCGATCCGTTCAGGAAGTGCGAACTGGCCTTCAAATCTCAATTTCGCACTTTTATCCGCAGACCCTGGCTCCCTTTTGCTGGGAATGGAATGATGTAGTCTTGGTTGAGGTCAATATCTCTTTCCCGTGTGGTATCGAATAACTCGAGCGAAGGACCCTCTTGGCCGTTGTAAATATCGTATTTGCGGATGATTGAAGCAAGCACCATTGACATTTCTTGACGTGCGAAGTTCATGCTGTTGCGATTGTCAATACGGTAGTCATTGAAACCAGTGCAATAATCACGTACCCAATGCAGTTTCTAGTGCCTCTAGCAAATCCGATGAATCCTTTGTCAAGTCTTGGGTTGTCGATCCATCGCTGAGGGCGGAACTCGTGGGGATCTTCAAAGGCCTCTGGATTCATGTGCGCGATCTGTGTAGTCATATTTGTCGACGTCCCTGGAGGGAGGACATACTCCTTTCCTCTGCGCTTGTCATGGTAAATGATAGGAACATCTGGCGAGACTCGAGGTAGCCTGGAAACGACGCCAGGGTGAAGGCGTACTGTTTCTTGAATGATGGCACTCAAATACGGTAGCTTCTCGACCTTTGCGAAGGATGGCACTTTTTCGGGGTCAGGAAGGGCGGCAGTGATCTCGGCTTTGACTTTGTGGAAGACAGCTGGATTGGCGAGTAGTTGGTAAATGGCAGCTTGTAGTGTGTATGCTGTTGTACCCTCACCAGCAAAGACGACAAGCTGTGCCTCATGTGCAAGTCGCGGAATGGTTTTCTCTTCGTCAGGGAGCTTGCTGTTTAGTATTCCCTCGAAGATCGTGTTCTTCGCACTGTCAGGGTTTTTCGAGTTTCTGATTTCCTCAACCTTTTCAATCCACATCTGTTCAAATGTAAGCCAAAAATATCCTGAAGTTTGAATCTTTGGGTATCGGCAACGAACCATCTGTTTGTCCCACATTTCTGTCAATGATGGGATGAACGTCTTGACGGCCCACGGTGGGGCTAAAGCCAGCAATGTGCCGACCCAAGGAAAGTGGCAGAAAGTGTGGTTGAGGATAAAAAATACGTCCGTCGACAACATGTACGGCATGGCGAAATCGCTCTTCTCCAGAAAATGAAACGAGTCACCGAATGCGTATTCTGTAATCAGGTCGCTTGTGAAAGCCCGGAAAACGTAGTGCATAGGCAACACCTCGCTTGCTTTGCCAGCATCTTGCATCCGCGCAAGTAACTTTTTCAAGTGCTCTTGAATGATGGGCTCCAGTCTGCGAATACTTGCCGTAGAGAAGAATCCGCTGATGGCGTTACGACGTCTTCGGTGCATATCATGGTCTATAGTTGCGACGATGGACTCCGCAGCTGACGAAGGGAACAAAGTTTGGTCAGCTAAGGAGAAGGTTCAAATGATGAATTAATTGTCGGCTTACTTCCTGTTCGCCTGCCGGTAAAGAAGTACTTGTTTGTCTTCCGCCCAGGTCCCGGAAAGATGGAGTCGATGAAGTCTGGATCATTGAAGTGGACCTCATGAGGGTTTATGCGAACGATGGGGCCTGCGGTTATGTTTAGTTATTGGCTATGTCGTTGGTAAGATGTGGGAGGACGACGCACCGTATTTCTCATGCATTTGGCCGATCTTCCGGTAATATTGACCCCCAAGCACGACATCGTAATAGATCTCATACCAATAGGTCACAGCTGGGATGTTCAAGGAGTTGTTTAGCAGAAGTCTCTTGAGTTATGAGGAGATACAAATTGGCAATCTCACCGGCAAGTCTTGGTCCTGGAATACCCGAGATCGGAGAAAACAACACTAATCTTTTGTCAAATCCTGTCCCTCAATGAAAATTGCCCAAGGGCGGTTTCATTCTTACAACGATACGTGATGAGCAAGAAGGAGTACACAAGCCACACAGCCAGAGCCGCATAGAGTGTTGAAGGGCTTAATATCCCTCCTTCTCTCCATGTGCTTATGAGACTGGCCACAAAAGGGTTCTGGCCGAAGCGTTCGAATGGTGACATGATCTCCTTCATTGATGAGGATAGCACATAATTCAGGCCAGGCCGAAAGATCAGCTCTTTGTAAACCGTTGCAGGTTTTATTCATATTGTATTGCCCGTCTTCGACATGTTTACAGCATTGCTCACGCACTATTCCTGATACTGCCTGGTTCTTCATGATGCCATTCAACATCCGGAGTCCTGCTATTCTCGATTTCGATTTGACGCAATATGCAAGAAGGAAGCTAAAGCCGTATACGATAGTGACCATGAAGAAAACATGTCGTTTGAATGAGCGGGGATTCTGAATCATGTAGGCACATCAAGGGGTCGGCAGGAACGGGGCGGCCCGGGGTTGACCCGTTGATTACATTGACCCTGGCGAGCACGCTATCATGCATGGTCAGCAACATCCACCACCGACACCATGCTCAAATTCAGAGTTTGTTGATTGCCAAGATTGCACAAACCCGACATTCTCCTCGGCAAGATTGCTGACGCGCATAGCTTACGGTGTAGTGTTATGTAGGGGTCCAACAGTTTTGGACATGCCGCGTAGACGGGCGTCTGGCCGCAGTCCCTGCAAAGTTAGTCTTCAAACACGACTCCATGTCCGAACATTAGATGGGAACAAGATTCAGGTCGCAGACGAGGCAATAGTCAGCTTGGATGTCCACCGAATGTCGTGAATGGCACTATCGAAGTTGGATCTGACTCAGATGTAATTCACAGGACTTGGATGAGCTCCTACCTTCCCCACAACGTGAAATGGGATAACTTAGGAGAGATGAAGAGGACTAGCTGCCGGGCGTCCCGGGGGGATCTCGGTTCGTCCGATGAACTCATCGAAGCTGGGCAGTGGCTATTCATTCTAGACATCAGTAGGATTCGATAGCGTGTAAAGCCCCTTTCGACGTGGGCTGATCGAGAGACCGTTGAACTCAATGAGGAACGACCAGACTCATACTAAACTTGCATGTCTTCGTTTCTTTATGAAAGATAATTCTTGTTATTTTGTATCAATCACTCTGTGTCTATCCGACCTTTTCAAGGAGCCAATCGTGTTGTCAACCTTGTCGAAACTTGCGTCTATATTTCAGATTCGTCCGACATGCAGGCACATGCATCCCTTCTTCTCGGCATAGCCACGGCTTTGTCGCAAGTCTCTTCGGTCACCGCTGCGCCTTTCAACGGCTCCACATCCCCTGCAAACTGTCGCTATCTTCCGGGAGACAGACAGTGGCCAGATCCGGCAACCTGGAGAATACTCAATGACACCGTCGGCGGCAGACTCATAGCGGGTGAACCGTTGGCGAAATCTTGTCACGGCGCTAGTTACGATGCTGACGCCTGTGCCGACATTCGGGCGCGATGGACCGAACCAGTCACATAGTCAGTCAACCCTTTGTGGACCGAGATTGCGCCCTCCAGAAGAACAGCCCATTGACATTCAAAACCAGTTTTCAGGATCCTGTCAACGTCATGTCACCCTACTGGCTCAACAACACCTGCAGCCCCTATACTTCACAGAACGCCTCCTGCATACTAGGAAACATTGCATCCTATGCTATCAATGTCAGCAGTGTCAGCGATGTTGTCGCAGGTCTGGAGTTTGCCAGACAGAACAATGTCCGTTTGAGCATCAAAAATACTGGGCATGATTACATTGGTCGTTCCAACGGTGAAGGGTCTCTTGCCCTGTGGACGCACAATCTCAAGGACATCACATTCTTCAACTACAGTAGCGCTGTGTACACCGGACCTGCAGCCAAGGTATCCGCAGGTGTTCAGTTCTTCGAGGCCTACGCTGCAGCGGCCAGCCATGGACTCCGAGTTGTTGGTGGGTTCTGTCCCACTGTCGGCATGGCCGGTGGCTATGTTCAAGGCGCCGGACACGGTCCACTAGGAGCTACGTATGGACTTGCTGCTGACAACACGCTGGAGTTCGAGGTTGTAACTCCAGATGGGAGACATGTTGTGGCATCGCGTACAGAAAACCCGGACCTTTACTGGGCACTGAGTGGTGGCGGAGGTGGCACTTATGGAATCGTATTATCGTTGACGACCAAGGCACACCCCGACGGACAGGTCGCGGGAGGATCCCTTGCCTTCGACAACACCAACGAAGAATCTTTCTGGGCAGCTATTGAGAAATGGCAGCGTCATCTCCTTCTTCTAGACCAAATTCCGGGTTTCACTACTGTCTGGGGATTTACTAACGCATCATTCAGTATCGCTTTTGCGACTCTGCCCGGAGGCAATGCTTCCGGGGTGGCTGATGCGCTCTCGCCTTTCCTCAAAGAACTTGACAACCTCGGCATCGTCCCTTCGTCGTATGAGACCAGCGACCGCTCAACCTTTTACGAACACTACGAACACTACACGGGCGATATGCCCTATGGGCCGTACACTACAAACGACGTTATCGGCGGCCGTCTCATTCAGCGACCGACGATTGAACATAACGCAACCAATCTAGTTGCAGTCTTGCGAGACATCGTCAATTCAGACCTTCCCTCAGTGCGTGTCAATGGCATCGCCGCAAACGTAACGCATGCCCGCGCAGGAAACAGTCCAGGCGATAACGCTATTCTTCCAGCATGGCGCGAATCTCTGTACTGGCTCAATGTTGACGTCTTGTTTGATCCTGCATCTTCAGTGTCAGACATTCATGGAATTCAAGCGCAGGTCAACCAGTTCCAAGATCGCCTAAGGCCTCTAACGCCTGGTGGAGGAGCGTACATGAACGAAGGCACATACGACAATGTGGATTGGAAGACGGACTATTACGGTTCAAACTATGATAAGCTGCTACAGGTCAAGAAGACCTATGACCCAGACTTTCTTTTGTATTCGCACACTCCGGTGGGGGCTGACGAGGTTACTGTGGCCTCTGATGGGCGCATCTGCAAGAACTAAGAGCTTGATCACGGTTTCATGCTGGTGTCAACCGCGCGGTGGGTTCGTCAGACTGCTATGTCTGCGATCGCCAATCCACTGAAGTAGCTCTCTTCACAGATTTCTTTTCAATTTTCCAATTGTATTAATAGCTGTTTTAATGAACAGAAGGCCCGGTATGACGCCAGACAGAAAACCTCATAACTGGTAGAATAACGTTTTCCTCCTTGCCAAAGTCAATGTCACAAACGACTCGGAACTTTCAAAAAGCTTCACGAATTGCTTGATGCGACTGGAAGTAGAGTGCACCAAATCGCGAAATCTCACGATAGTGTTGCGTTGCACAAATCAAGAATTCTGTGGCTGAACGGTCTCATGCTAAGTTGCGCAGAATACTTTCTTTTTCTATTCTCTTTTCACCTCCCATCATTGGGACCAGAAATCACAAGCTGTGCCTTGCTTTCGACTGATTTTGAACCAATGATGCTACTATTACCAAGGTAGCACAACACCATCCCACTGGATCAACTTCCCGCCGTGGCTGTCCCTTGTAGCCGAGTCAACGACCTTCACGATTCCCTCAGTCACATCTTCAACTTTCAATGGCGCTTGCTCATGACCAAAGTAATGGGCACCATTGTTTCCAAGGTCCGTTTGGACCCAGCTGAGATAGCTGTCAGTACGTTCGTCCGCAAGTGCACCGGTTGGCCTGTCTTACCCCGGGTCGATGGGAAACGCAACTAGCTCCGGCTCTTCTCGGTGGATAGCCTTGGTCAACCAATGTGCAACGACTTTGGATGTGCCATAAGCTGCATTTGGCATGTCAAGTTGGTTCTGCAGGTTTATTAGCGGACGACCTGTCCACGAGATTGGTGCAGTATTTTACTGTCAACCAGGCCGAACACGAGCCAATTGTAATCCACTTGCCGTTCTTGGATTTCTTCAGCAGAGGCAGCGTTGCTTGGTACGTAAAGATAAGACCGTGGACGTTCGGCACGTAGTGGCCTTCGATATCTTCGACTTTGATCTCGGACACCTTAGGCCATGCAAAACAGACACCGGCATTGGCAATGACAATGTCAAGGTGATCAATGCCCTGCGCTTCCAGTTGTTTCACGGCATCTAGACCGTCAGCCTTGACTGTGATGTCAAATTTGACAAGTACCAGGGAAGACCCCTTGGCTTTGGGCAGACTAGCCAGGGCCTTAGATGACTCGTGATCGGGATCACGAACCGTGCCGATGACGGTGTGATTAGGCCTAGCCAGATATTTCTCGAGGAGACCTTTGCCGATGCCGCGATTGGCCCCAGTGATAAGCACGATTGTTGGTGCCATTGTTACTTTTCGCTTGGGGCAGACTCAACAGGACTGAATACACAAAGAGACACCGAGGTGAACGAAATCCGTTGCAGGCTTCTGGCTTATGGAATGTCCATGGCCTTCAAATATCAACTCAAACATTCTCTCAACGCGTCATCGTCGCGTAACGCAGCAAATGTTGACCTTTCTGATGCACTGTAATCCGCAAAATGCTGACAAATTCAGACTCAGTGGACCTCAGGAGTCTTGCTTACCGGGCAGCTTGGCCAAGCATGGTCACGGCCGGGATTGATGATGTTTGGAAGGTAACGGGTTTTGGCGCCGAAACTTGCTTGAATGTCTGTCTCATTACCTGGCATCGAATGTCAAAGCCGGCACCCTACTCGACCTGCCCCGAAGTCTCCTTTCATGCTGGCTGCAGGGTATCAATTGCAACAACATCATTTTCATTGACGGTTCGTCGCAACATGAATGCGACACAGTAGCTGGACCATTAAGTCCCACCTTTATTGAATGGAGGGATCACTTCTGCATGGTCAGCGTCTCGCAGATTGCTACAGACAAGCTTCCTAGTGAAGGCCAAATGCTGACCATGCATACTGCAAGGATGGACGGAAATGGGATCTATTGCCTCACGTGGGGGTCCGATTGCGTGCGAATGGGTCCCCATGAATCTCAATTTCGCTACCAGAACGACATGGAACGATAACGCGGATGACGACGACAACGATAAGGGCCAAAGATTTCCATGAACTCGGGTTTGTGAACAAAATAGGAAGTTTGGTTCCGTCAACATGTCAGCACAAACTCAAAGCTGTAGGCTCGAATGTCAAGGGGAAGGGGCATTGAAACTATCTCAAGACGCAGTAGACGCAAGGGAAAATTCAATTGGATTGCGTCAGGCTTGTATTTAAAACTCACAGATGTCAATAGTGAACTTAACACATTTACTACGTCCAGGTATGGATAGATTGTTTCACGTGATATCTAATCAAGAGCATGGCGAATAAAGTTTACCATCGCTTGCCAAATCTCTTTGGATCCGCTACCGCTCAGCACAGTGAGATGCCCCTTTCCATTGGCAAGATATAGCTCCTTTGGTCCTTCAAATCGTCCGAATGCTTCTTCCTGCTCCTCGGCTGGAGATATGTCATCCAGCTCTGGAACGATCATTTGAACCGGCGTCCGAACGAGATCAAGAAGCTCCTTAAGTCTGAACAGGGCCAGTTTGTGGTACGTCTGCAACGTAATTCGATCTCGAAAGTTAGCTGCTCCACGGTCGATAACGGCATTCATAAAGTTGTATGCCTCCATGCCCCCTGGTCCCCCGGATCCTGCCATGCCGATGGGGTTCTCACCTCTGCTGTTGAAAGGAGGCAACGAAAACGGTTCGTTACCACGAAGCTGGGACTGCCGGTCTCTGATGAGCTGTGCGAATGCTTTCTCTCGCTTCTCTGGTTGGATGAAACTAAAGATGGGGCACACCATAACCAAAGCTCTCACCCGCCGATCAACAGCGGCTGCACAAGCGCTCACCGTAGCACCGAAAGACATGCCCCAAAGAACGATGCGACGGGCGTCCACACTTGGTAACGATGCAACGTGTGTTACAATGTCTGTGATTGGCAGACGTTAGCAGAAGCACGTGCGTTATCCCACTGCCATGGCTTGGGATTTCGTGTGGCAGACTTACCGGAAAGGTCTTCCGCCTGTTGCAGCGGACTGATATGGTTTCTTGGTAACCCGTCACTATCGCCAATACTTCGTGGATCGTATATGAGGGTGTTGAAACCCAAGGACTGGAACCACTCAGCCAGTTCCGGCAACAGCATCTCTTTCACACAATTAAACTGACAGTACGTTAGCTTATTCTTCTAGTTATATCGGTCGAAGGAACGCACCCCATGTGTCATAATGATAGCCGGAGCTGGACCGTCGCCGACGGCGTAGAACAAACCGCGGAGAACTACGCCATCGATCGTTTTGTGTTCCACCTTCTCCCTTAGGGCTGACATTCCGGAATTTGGATTAGAGAAAGAAATACGTATTGAAAAGCGCGAGGTCAGGACTCTTGCGATTGCGGAATGATTTCGCAGGGTAGACAATATATTTGGGATGGTTTGACGTAGACAAGAGTGCCCGCAAGAAGTTTGCGGAAGCCCTCGTACGACGTCTCAGGTTGGGCAAACAAAATGTATATCCTTTACTGACAGATGGACTTGAATGAACTACATGTGAAGTTTTCAAATGCGCCACGGACGATTTATGAGAGCCAAATGGCAGACAGCTGTACCACGAAAGTGCGAGGCCACCGGGCGATAACGGCACATGCTGAACATCCGGGATCGTCCTTAGCAGACCATCACCTCCACCCACGTTCCAAACTCGCGTATCTTGTGGTACAAGCCACGTGTCTCAGTGTTCGGGATCAAAATACCTGTTGAAACAGTTCTAGCCGACGTATTGACACCACTGCAGAATATTCTTACGACATCGATGTGGCCCACAACTTTGCGGGCGGGAGATGCCCCCGGACGGCCCGAGGCTCCTTCCTTGGCTCCGTTTGTGTGCATGAGGCCCTTGTTAACCACCTCAACTTCTGATATTGGGCGTAAGTTGATCAGGCTACCGAAGTCCCTCACGTACTTCTCGTGGGTTAAGTCCCGGTGAACCGCGACCTGGCCTGTTGCGAGGGTTCGGTTTGCATCGTCAACCCGAGAAACTTCGTTGATACAGCATGCGACCTGGCTGACTTTGCAGCAAACGGTTCATTCCATGTTACAACATCATCGAGGCTGGTCAGCCTGAGTGGGTGTAGTAAGGATAATTCCCACTTCAGGGCGTCGGACGTGTGTCGTATCCTGCTTATCTCTATACCATAGCCACAAAGTGCCAAACACCGCGCACAACGCCATTGGGGGCTGATACTGCGACATCTTCAACGAGACAACACGGCTAAACTGGGAAGACTACGACTCATGGTCCATGTTCAAAACGAAGGTTATCTGCAGGGGTCGGCGATTCGCGATGTACGGGGTAGCCACCTTGCAATCAGAACGGCACTCGATGTGGTATTTCCAACCCCCGTCGTTGAAGGATTCTGCACGTCTGGCCAAGTTTCGCGATCTTCTGGTTTGATAACGCCAGAGACAAAACGTTATTCGAGCCTTCGCCACGATGGCGACACCAGTCATAGATCAGAGGTTGTGACTCGTCGGGCGGATTGTACAACAGGTCTGGCCAGGCAATTTGCAAGGGTTACCGAAGTGGTTATCGGCAAGCGAGTGAGCAGCAAAGATGACGACGGAGATAGGCAATCGCGAAGACTTGCAGGTTTCTCTCAGTGTCGATATGAATGAAAGTCTCGGCTCTTCTCGCGAACCGAACTCATTGTCAGACGTTGTTCTTTGAAAGCAGAGAAGCCGCAATACCCATCTTTTCGTGTTGCTCCAAAATTCTGTCTTCAAGATTCAATCTTGTTCAGTTGTTTGAACTACTGAGGCAACATGTCAACCTCACAGCACCCGAAGGAGCCTATCGCCATCATTGGCATTGCCTGCCGACTTCCTGGCGGAAACACCAACCCTCATAAACTCTGGGAGTTCCTCAAGAGGGGAGGTATTGCGTCGAACAAAGTTCCTGGATCAAGGTTCAACATCGACGGCCACTGGGATGGCTCCCAAAAACCTCGCACAATGCGGCCGTTGGGAGGCATGTTTCTCGAGGAGATTGATCCTGCCGACTTTGACGCATCCTTCTTTGAGATATCAAAGACGGAAGCCATTTCTATGGACCCCAACCAACGGCAAATGCTCGAAGTAGTCTATGAGGGACTTGAGAACGCTGGAATTCCTCTGGAATCTCTGGATGGCGCCCAAGTTGGTTGTTTTGTTGGATCCTACGCATCAGGTATGTTTGGAAACCCCAGAAAGTGCATTGTTTTAACGAAACACAGACTACGGTGATATGCAGGCCAGAGACCCTGAAGATCGGACCGCTGCCATTACTGTTGGTGTTGGAAGATCGATCATGGCCAACCGCTTAAGTCACTTTTTGAACATCAAGGGACCCAGGTAAGAACCATGAATTATCTTCTTTGCTCGAGCTCGGTTGCTGATCACTAATCTTCTAGCATGACTATTGATACTGCTTGCTCAGGCAGTTTGGTGGGAATCGATGTGGCCAGCCGCTATCTTCAAACTCGTGAGATCGACGCAGCTATCATTGCTACAAGCAATCTCTACCTCAACCCTGAGCACGTTATGGACATTGGTGGCGTAGGCCATGCTCACTCACCCACTGGGCTTTGTCACACTTTCGACATCTCTGCCGACGGATACGTGAAGGCCGAAGCTGTTAGCTCCGTGATTATCAAGAGACTTTCCGACGCTATACGCGACCGCGATCCCATCAGAGCTGTCATTCTTGGGTCGTCCACCAATAGTGATGGACGTACACCGGGCATCGCCAGTCCCAGCGCCGAGGCTCAAGCAGCTGCCATTAGAGCTGCCTATGCCAGTGCTGGCATTACCAATTTTAACGACACGACATATCTTGAGTGCCATGGAACAGTGACACAAGTCAGTCGGTGCCCGCTGATAACGCTCATTCCGTGATAGCTGACGATTATCTCAGGCTGGTGATCCTACGGAGGTCAAGGGCGCTGCGTCGGTGTTCGCTACCAGTCGATCTGCGGATAAGCCACTTATCATCGGCTCGGTCAGTATCCCAACTTTTTCAGGGTAGTTTAGCTTTCATTTTGGCCATCCAATGCTGATTATGATTTTATGTTAGATCAAGAGCAATGTGGGGCACGCTGAGCCATCAGCTGGAATCTCAGGTCTCATCAAAGCTGTGTTGGCTACTGAAAGCGGGTTGATCCCCGGCAATCCTACTTTCGAGAACCCTAGTCCTAAGAGTAGGTTGACTTCGTCGCGATGATTTCTCACGATTTCAACACTAACAGCTCTTGAACAGTCGATTTTGTTGGCTTGAAGGTGAAGGCGTCCCGTACTGCCCTTCCTTGGCCCACTGGTGCTCCCCGAAGAGCCAGCATCAACTCATTCGGCTACGGCGGCTCCAATGCGCATTTGATTCTCGAGCAACAAAACATTCCTGGTGTTCCGCGTCATATTTCTTCGTATCTTCCGGACGATGCGGAGTTCTCTCTTGAAGACGATGAGACAGAGAACCCGTACATTCTTGTACTCTCGGCCAACGACAGCGCCACCTTGCGCGCCAACATCAAGGCTTTGTCGAGCCATCTCATCAACCCCCGCGTCAAAGTCGATATTCGCGACTTGGCCTACACGCTCTCAGAGAGGAGATCACGTCTATGGCATCGAGCTTTCCTGACGAAGCGCAGCCTGACTGAGTTGGACGAAAACTCCTTTGTCGTCGGGAAGAAAAGCTCCGAGGCACCAAGAGTCGCCTTTGTTTTCACTGGCCAAGGCGCTCAATGGCCTCAGATGGGCAAGGATCTTCTGCGTTATTTCTCATGGACTCGTCAAATTCTGGAAGAACTTGACAGTGTCTTACAAGGTCTCCCAAATCCTCCGAAGTGGTCTCTCGTCAACGAGTTAACTGAGCCACGCACTGCGGAACACCTTCGCCAACCAGAGTTCTCTCAGCCACTCGTGACTGCGCTTCAGCTTTGCCTGATTTCGGTACTCGAGAGTTGGGGTATCAAGCCGCAGAGCGTCATCGGCCATTCATCTGGAGAGATCGCCGCTGCTTACGCTGCGGGCTTTCTTGATCGGTCGGGTGCTATCATTGCTTCTTTCTATAGAGGCCGAGCCGCACTGAACCGTCAAGAGCACGCTGAGAAGGACGTTGGCATGCTGGCTGTTGGTGTTGGCGCTGATGCTCTCGCGCCTTACTTGGAGAAGTACGCCGGTGAAGCTTGGATCGCTTGCTTCAACAGCCCTAGCAGTCTCACTGTATCTGGCAAGCGAGTCCCCTTGGAGGCTTTGGCCACTGACCTCAAGTCAGACGGTCACTTCGCACGACTTCTCCAAGTCGACTAAGCGTATCATTCACCTTTGATGGGAGTCATTGGTGAAGAGTACGAAACGCTGTTGTCAACAGGCTTCACCTCATTTGGAGGATCCCCAGATGTATCAATGTTTTCATCCGTCACTGGACCCAGCAAGACCACCACTACCGATGGTGCCTACTGGAAATCCAATATGATCTCGCCCGTCAGATTCAACGAAGCAGCGCAAGCAATGCTCTCAGGAGATAACGGTCCCAACTTTCTCATTGAGATTGGCCCATCTGGTGCTTTGGGTGGTCCAGTCTCTCAGATCTTGAAGTCCCTTTCGAACGGATCCGACATATCCTCTGTTGCTGCATGGTCTCGAGGCGCCAATGCTGGAAAGACAATTTATGATCTTGCTGGGCGCCTGTTTATTGCTGGAGGTGGCGTCAACCTTGCCAAGGTCAACCTGTATTCTTCGGGCGAAGCTCAGACAACGCCCCTCCCAAACACCATTATCGACCTTCCTAACTACGTCTGGAACCACTCAGTCAAGTACTGGCATGAGAATGCGGCAAGCAAGGACTGGCGATTCAAGCAGTATGTCAATCACGATCTTCTGGGAAGCAAGGTACTTGGAACGACATGGCGTTCGCCAACTTGGCGCAAGCTTTTGGATATTGCGGACGTTCCGTGGTTGAAGGACCACAAGATGGGAGATGATATCCTCTTGCCGGGTTCCGGCTTCATCACGATGGCTGTCGAAGCACTCTACCAGAAGACAAGAGCCACCGCACCAGACGATGTCGTCGTCGCGTCTTCGAACAACTTGTCTTATAGACTCAGGAACGTTCGGTTTGACAAGGCGCTGGTACTCGAAGAGGGAGTAGAGGCGATCATCACACTATCCCTCACTCAGCAACCCGGAAGCAAGGATTGGCATGAGTTCCACGTTGCCACCAATACGGCCGGTGTTTTCATCGAGCATTGCTCCGGATTGATTCGTGTACAAGAACCCATTCTCGAACGCCTGATAGAGGTCGACCGTCGCCCCCTGGAGTTTCCCACCACCGCCAAAATCTGGTACAAGGCCCAGACCGCCATCGGATACGGATTCGGTCCCGACTTTCAGAAAGTGAAGAAAGTCGAATCAATCAGTGGTCAGCGACACAGCCGCAGCTTGGTTTCCCTCGAGGAGCCCAAGTCGAAGTGGTCTCCCCAGTCATACTACCCAATCCATCCAGCATCTCTAGACGGTTGCTTCCAAACCGTTACGCCCTCTCTCTGGGCCGGAGAGCACAGTTCTTTGAACGCGGTGTTGGTTCCTTCGGTCATAGATGATTTGGTAATCAACCAAGTCAATCAGGGGCTATCAGAAGGCTTGTCTATCGCGAGTTCAGATTACTCCGGTCGCGGGCGGCTGGAAGAGGCCAAGAGCTACTTTGCCAACTGCTCAATTCACGATCCTACAACCGGCGCACTTCTTATGCAGATGCGCGGTCTGCGTTTTGCTAAACTTGATGTGGTTCCCAAGCCAGACCCTCATATTTTCGACCGAGTCAGCTGGAAGCCTGACATCACATTCTTCTCCCAGGACAATTTGGTTCAGCACAGATCCGAGTTTACTGCTGGTTCTATCATCGACTTGATTGCACACAAGCAGCCGAGATTGCGAGTTTTAGAGTCGGACTTTGACGCCAATGATAAGTCTTCTGCGTGGTTTCAAGGCAACGATTGGTCATCGAGAGCGGCTTACACCCAATACGACTATGTTTCAACGAATGCGAAGCTTCTGGTTGGAATTCAGACCCAAAATGAAGGGAACAGAAACGCTTCTTTCAGCCTCATTAACCTCGAGAGCGGAAATCTCGGCTTGCCAAGTGACGCTATCTACGATCTCGTCATTGTCAAGGTCGCGGACAAGTTGTCTTCGAGCGTGGACCAGTTCTTACAACGGCTCAAGAAGCATCTCTCGAGTTCTTCGCACACTCTCATTCTTCAGCCCAAGCAACCAGAGCTAGATGCTCCTGCCCCTGTGCCATCCCCGAGATCCACCTCGCCAGATTCCGATGTGCCAGCAGATCCCAGCACGCCCTCGGAGTCAGCCGGATCTGATCTGCCGCCAGAGACCCCTGTCACAGATGTGTCCATCACGCCCGAAGAGGAAGTCGAACTCAAAGAGAAAGGTCGATCGTCAAATGTTTGGGTGGACATAGCTCTCGAGAGCCTTCTCGATGCGAACTCACGCCCAGAACTCCATGGTTTCAGCGTCAAGCTGCAAGGGTCTACATGGACACTATACAGTTTCGCGGCGACCAGCGAGGAGCCACATCGGCCTCGCAACTTGGACATCGTCCGGCTTTCTCAAGGTGCTTCAGATGTCGAGCCATCACTGAAAGAACAGCTGGAGACATCTGGGTGGAATATCACGCAGCGATCAGACCTTTCCGCAGTTCAAAGTCTCTCGGCTGACTCCACCGTTCTCATTCTTGATGAGCTTCACAATCCTGTTCTCACCAATATTGATGGAGAACAATGGTCTGCGTTGAAGACTCTCGTCAGTTCGGGACGCCCTCTTCTTTGGGTCACAAAAGGGGCGCAGCTCAAAGTCACTGACCCAGACCTCGCTCTCGCTCATGGTCTTTTCCGCGTCGTCCGAAGAGAGGATGCCAGTGTCAAGATCACCGTTTTGGATGTCGAGTCAAATGTCGGACCCAACACTGCATGGGCCATCAAGTCCGTCCTAGAGACTACATGCCACAGTGGCACGCCGAGTGTCAAAGGAATTGTCGAGACGGAATTCGCTGAGCGAAATGGCGTTCTATACGTGCACAGAGTTGTACCAGATCTGAGAGTCAATGAGTTCAAGCGGGCTGAGCAGGAGGGATCCGAACCTGTCTTGGGAAAACTGCACGAAACCAAGGCCGCTGTTCAGCTCCGATCGGAGCGTGTCGGAACCTTCCAGAGCCTCACTTGGAACGAGACAGATGTCGCTGAGGTTCCTGTTGAAGAGGGCACAATCGAGGTCGAAGTCTTTGCTGTCGGTGTTAACTTCAAGGACGTCGCTGTTTCCATGGGAATTGTGCCAGAGAATGAGTACACCATTGGATATGAAGCAGCCGGCATTGTCACGAGGCTTGGCCCGGGGGTCACAAAGTTCAAGGAGGGCGATCGAGTGTGCTTCTTGAACGGTGGTAGCTATGCGAACCGCCTGCAAGTGCCCATCGGACGCGCTCACGTCATCCCTGACTGGATGAGCTTCGAGGTTCGTGACCAGTCAGACTGAGATGATACTGTGCTAACTCTGACCTAGGATGCGGCAACAATTCCCTCCGTCTACCTGTGTTCCATTTACTCACTGTTCGACATTGCCAACTTGAAAGAAGGCCAGGTAAGACCCTCGCTTCATTCCTCTCAAAATCAAGCTAACAGCCGCAGTCCGTTCTTATTCATTCGGCATCTGGCGGAGTTGGAATTGCGTGTATTCAGCTTGCTCAGTACAAGAATGCAGAAGTGAGTTCCTGGCGCCATGGCCTTTATCATCTCAACACTTGAAGGTGCTAACATGTGTGCTAGATCTATGTAACCGTCGGTACGGAGGAAAAGCGCCAGTTCCTCGAGGAGAATTACGGTATCCCCCGAAGTCGCATGTTTTCTTCTCGCAACACGACATTTGCAAAGGAAATTCTGGCTGCAACAAACGGTCGTGGTATTGACGTCATCATTAACTCTCTTACCGGCGAACTTCTCGACGCTTCATGGAGAATAATTGCCGACGGTGGAACCTTGGTTGAAATTGGAAAGAAGGACATTGTCGACCGCAATACCTTGTCTATGGAGCCGTTCGATCGCAACGCTTCGTTCAGAGCCATGGATTTCTCCTATACCCAGGACATCCGGGACCCTTTGATTGCAAGGTTCGTATTTTGCGAAAACCCCCTTTTTATTGGACACTAAGAAGTACTAACTCATCACGCAGGCTTTTGGATGAGGTTTTCGCCCTCGTCAACAGCGGGCACATCAAGCCAATTCACCCCATTACAACCTTTGGTTTTGATGCAGTCCCTGCGGCTTTGGCCTACATCCGCAGCGGCCGTCACATTGGCAAGGTGGTCATTTCTGACGGAAGCAAGAAGGACGTCCAAGTCCCCATTAGGCCAGCGACACGGAGGCTCAAACTTCGATCGGATGCTTCATATGTCATTGTTGGTGGCTTGAAAGGTCTCTGTGGATCTCTCGCCATTCACATGGCACGACACGGAGCCAAGCACATCATTTCTGTGAGCCGCAGTGGCATCGACGACGTAGCTTCCCAGAAAGCAATCAAGAACTGTGCTGCCTACGGCTGCGAGGTGTTGGAGGCTAAGGGTGACGTTGCGAACCTTGAGTTCGTTCAAGACGTCTTCAAGTCTATTCCTCGGGTGGCCGGAGTGATCCAAGGTGCCATGGTTCTCAGAGTAAGGAGCACCTATCGCTACATGATTCAAGTACTGACAGACGTCCAGGACAAGCCTTACGAGACCATGACTCTCGATGACTACCATACCGCTATTCACGCCAAGTTTCACGGTACATGGAACTTACACCGCGCTTCGGAACAACTTCAGCATCCACTTGACTTCTTCACCCTGCTGTCAAGTATATCCGGTATTGTTGGCAACAAGGGACAAGCCAACTACTCCGCGGGAAACACATTCCTCGATGCTTTTGCCGACTATAGGCGCGCCCTTGGCCTTCAAGCTAACTCGGTCGACCTCGGTCTTATTCAAGATGTTGGCTACGTCGCTGAGCAAGAAGGCTTCGAGGCTCGCTTCGACACTCGCCAGTGGACGCCTATTACTGAGGGAACCCTTCGCAAGATTCTCAGCTACTCCATTCCTCAGCAAGACAACGCGTCTGCTACTATCAATCCTGAAAGTGCCGCGCAACTCGTCACTGGTATCGGCTTCCCGTTGCCAGAGGACTCAGATCTCACTCGTGATGCTCGCTTCGGATACCTTTTCCAGAACACGGGCACAGGGTCGGATGGCAAGGACGGCGGTTCAGGCAAGCAAGGGGATGAGACAATCCGCGCATTCCACGCCTTGCACAAGTCAGGTGCTGACAGGACGGCTCTGGTCAAGGTTGGTGTTGAGGTGGTTGCATCGCAACTGGCCAAGATTCTCCGCTTGGAGACCGAAATTGAGCCTGCTAAGCCTCTGATGACGTTTGGCTTGGACTCGCTTGCGGCAGTTGAGTTGCGAAATTGGATTCGTTTGGAGCTGGGTGCTGAGCTAACAACGCTTGACATCACCAACGCAAGCTCCCTGAACGCATTGGGTGACAAGTTGGTGTCAAAGCTGACACAAACCTCTGTGGCCAGCTCTTGATTATCAGCGTTTTGATTTCAAGTAGTAATTAGTGGCACATTGCACGATGCCAGGTTTTAAATCTCGTTCACGGTGTCTGGTCGATGACTGCAGTCATGGTCTCGTCGCGAGTTTGTCTATCTGGGCTGTTATTCTAGCTCACCGAGCAGACTATTATCTGAAGCTCTTTCTTATAAGCTATTAATATTGTGGTAATCCCGTCGTTGCCATAACTATCATTATGGTTACCGTCATCACCATTGTCGCACGTAGTCTACTGTAGTTATCTACAGCGAATTGACTGATAGCTTTAATTGGATAAAGATCTTTTCCAATGCCTCTTAAGTTGCCCTTATCAGCGTCGTGTGTAGCTAAAGAAACCCCAATGTGCATCCAGGACTCAATCACCAGTCCTAGCAAGAGCCTCTATTGCGACTGGAGAGTACCCAGCAATGATCAATGGCGCGCCCGCAGGGTCTTATGGCGCAAGATTATCAGCTGATGCTACTCAAATGATTGGATGAACCCCCTGCCGCTTAACTGAAGCAGCCAGTGTGGATATCAAAGCCTTACTCAAGTCAGCACTATCTCAGCTGGTGGATTGGCTGTCCACCGCGGCTCATTGGACCGGGTTACAGGACCCTGTCACCGGCCTATCTTGCCGCTCGACTGAATTGAAGAAGGTTTACGAGGGTGTTGCTTCTTAAGGGAGGTGTTGTCCAACTCTTGTTCCACGCGTATGTCAGCTCAACCTTTTATCACAAGATCTCGCCAAAGCCGTGCATTGCACCTCAAAATGGAACTTCACATCGATTTGGCTAGTGATCGGACGAATCGTCGCAGGCTGCAAAACCGCATGGCACAGCGCAAATTTCGTCGTAAGTGAAGGCCAATAGCGGAAAGCTTGTTCGATGGCAGAAAACACTTTCATATCTTATCTTCTGACCGTAAATACAGAAGCTCGCGCAGAGGCTTCCAACCAATACGCGGCAGATACAACTCCGCCACTTCACGACGCCTTGGATAACGATAGCGTCGGCATCCCGCTATCAGGAACACAGCTGGGTTTCCAACATGAACCACATATTTCTCCTCAAGCAACTACAACTCAAGCTGTTTACCATACAACAGCGTCGCTGGGCCAGACACGGAGTGCACCCTTCGCTCAGAACGCAGGATCCTCCGCTGGTAGTGACAGCCCGGGACTAGGTGATTTCGCCTTGATCGAGACCTATTTTCCCAGCGGCAGCAGTTCGCTATCTAGCTATCGCACCCAATTTGGACATTCGTTGGGCTTCGACACATCAAGCACATCGCAGACGAGCCAGGCTGATGTGGATTATTTGCTTGGGCTTGCCTCAAGCGGATTCCGTGATAGTCCAGGACAACTGCATCCAGCCCAGCACACCACGGCCAGAGTGCCCAAGGTGGTTGAACAGCCGGAAGCTACCGCCGCAAGAGCTAAGCCAGATTCATCGGGCCTGACCGGTAGATCAAGCTCCGATGGCAGTCCCACCCCACGCAGCAATAATCCCTCGTCCTCTTCCGGATCCTCGCCCAGTACTAGCGGCGGGGCACTAGCCGGTGCATCTCCATCATCCGGAGATAACCAAACCCCTGTTGCTGATCGTGGGTGGCTTGGAACTTTACACATTGCCGCACGTCGAGGTCATGAGCGAATAGTTAGGAGGCTCATGGAGCGTGACGTCGACTGTAACGAAAAGGACAGTGACGGTCGGACTGCACTAATCCACGCATCCATAGACGGCCATGAAGCAGTTGCTAGAATATTGCTTCAGGCGGGGGCTCGCATCAGCGACCTTGACCGACGAAAACGCTCAGCCTTACATTGGGCTGTTTTAGGAAGTCATGAAGCGGTGTTGAGACTACTCCTCGAGTACTACACACAAAGAAACTGGGAGCATGGCTTAGATGCGTATGATGAGCTTGGGTGGACGGCGTTACACATTGCCGTTGAGAAAGACTTTGAGAGTGCCGTCTTGGTGCTATTGGAGGCCGGCGCTGACTTACACGCAAAAGCACGAAAGACGTGTGACGGCGATAATGACGAAGGGGATACCAGGATACAGGCCAACTCTCAGGACGTCATCAAAGATCGATAAAGAGGTAATGATTAAGGTCCACTACAAAAAAGAGTCGTTGCGCTTTGGGCCTTCTTCATGATGGTGTCTGGTCGGATGTGAGGAAGTTTCCAGTCTTTTGCTGCTTGAAGATTTACGAACAGTTGCCACTTTGTAAGACGTATGCTCAGATAATTAAGCCGGTGATCTACCTTACTGTTTAGAAACCGTCTTACAAATCATCAGTTCTGCAGAGTAGCAGGCTCCAAAACCCCAACGGAGTTTTCACCTGTTGGTCAGAATCAGGCTGAAGCAGCCCCTCAAACCACTCAGACGGGCAGCCTGCCTTGCGTTACACTGCCTATGACTGTTTCTAAGGATAGCAATTGGCTGCTGGGCACAAGCAATGATTGGTGGACTTCGAGCCATCCTCATAGATGCTGCATTTCTCAGACACATCCAGCGAAAATAGCCTGCGGCTGATGGCAGGCGCCGTCACACAGCCGAGATTATAGGTACAGGAATGAGAAAAGACGCCTTCGAGTACAGGCTGAATAATCAATGGGCAGGCTTTACTGCAAGTCTCCTTGAGGCTGGTCAAGGCTGATTGCTTTATGGCTTGCATAGTTGAACGGATAGAGAGGGTGTGGCCGATAAATTGTTCCAATTCGGCACATGATTACTGGAATGGGAACGTTACCAAATAAGCAGCGAAGATATAAATTGCATTCCATAGCCTCTCCATGGAGTTGAAAGAAGTCGCAATCCAGAAACTACCACAAAGTCTTTCTTCCCTTCTAAGTTTTTCTTCTTAGATACTATTTACAATTTGTATCGATCTGATCCCGCAAACATTCAATCCTGACCTACATTCTACGCCCTCTTATCAGAAGCCATTCCATCGTCATGGGACATCCCAGAGGAACCAAAACGGCATCAGCCAGTGCCGTTGCCGCCGCCTCATTTGGCACCGCATTCATCGACCCCACAGGCATTTCTCTTCTCACCTGTCTCGGTGCATCTACTGCCGCAGTCATCGGGACGACCTACCATGCCGCCAAAGCCATCTCCAAGCGCAGCTCAAAAGCGATGGAGGAAACCCGCGAGAAGAGAGCAAATGAGCAAGCACTGGCCCTCGGCATGTCACCTGAAAAGCACATGCAATTCCAACATGAGATCGAAAGTACTCTCAGGCGTCTCACTTCGTCCCTGGAGGGATCCTTCGTCTCCGGGGTTCTCCTAATCGGTCTTCCGTACATGGGCATCACTTGGGCTATCAATACTGCTGAAACCGGGTACCAAATCAAGCGTCTCAAGACGCTTGTCGACAGAGCTGGTGGCAGGAGAGCTCTGGTGAGGACAATTTCGAAGAGAAATGCCGCTGCTCAAATTGCCACTGGTGCCGCCGTCAAGACCGCAGTATTGTCAGTGACTCTGGGTCATGACTTTGACGCTGCCATGCAAAGCATTGCTGGTCACTTTGACGACGTTGACTATAAGGAGATGTTTCTCGATACTGGCGACGAGCACACAACATGGCTAGAGCATTCGGTCATTGAAAAAACGACCAACTTTGTCGACCAGCCACAAGAGGCGATGAAAAACATGTTGGAGGCTGCAGAAGGCGACTTTAATGGGCACACAGAAGCTTGGAATTGGGAGGAGGGGCATTCAACCGAGGATGTGGTGGCCCTCGGAGCTGTGGTTGCAGTCGTCAACAAAGCTGTCGATAGTGCAGTGGACGATCCCGTCCACAAAGGCATCAATAGGGCCACGGGAGCTGCGGGGAAGAGGTAATTGGGGTTTCAGTCCACTAGAGCCGGCGTTCTGTGCATTAGAGTGTTGTTTGATGAAGTTGTCGAGAAGTCTCGTTGCATCCATAGAAAATAGATATTATTCATTAGATTCAATAGACGAGTCGTAGTTGTGTTCCGTCCAGTGTCTCTTATCAACTTCAACACCTTACTCGGGGTACCTTAAACACAGAACGCCCCACATGCCGCTGGTTCAGCGCTGTGGCGGCCCAGGCACGGTGCGCTTTTTCTATGACGACATCCCGGCGCAGGGTTTCCATCTCGCTTGACGCGTTGAGAGCCGACCTCATCTCATCGATTCCTCAGCCATGCCATCAATCACAGGCAGAATAACTTCTATTCTGCCGTTGTTTAATCGTCAGGGGGGCACACGACGGTTCGTCATCCCAACTGCCCAACATTCAACCCGATACTTCGCCATGAAGCGGACCGCCACAGCAGCAAGCCTCACGTCAGGGGCAAAGAGCACGAAGAAGCCCCGGCCAGCGGTTCCTGAGTATCATCTTACAACTTCAGTGAGAAATGAGGACGGAAGTATCGTGTGGCCGGCGCCGGAGGACAAGATGGAGGCAGCGAGGAGTTTCATTCGTGAATGGTGAGTCCCGACTCACCTTGGCACTCATTACCTTACGTTCATCTCTAACTCATCCAGCGTCGCCGCCGGCAAATCTACGCTCATAATCCCCGATAAAGACGCGGACGGTCTCACATCCGGCGTAATCCTACACCGCACCCTTGTTCTCCTCGGCCTTGATCCTTCTCTCATCTCATCCTACCATCCCCCCAAAGGCACAAACATCCACGATGCCTCCTGTCGCGAGGCAATGTCATCACATAACCCGGCCTACATCTTCGTCCTGGACCAAGGATCCCGCCCCGGGCCACGTCTCATCGACGCGCCCCATCGTGGGATAGTGATAGACCACCACCACGCCCTGGAGGACGACCATCCGGAAGACTCACTCCACGTTACGGCTTGCAACTCGCCCCCAGTAGCAACCAGCTCACTCCTCACTTACCTCATCTGCCGGGAGCTACACGAGGGCGTACAAGAAGCTTGCGACTGGCTGTGCGCGATGGGCACGCACGGCGACCTCGGCAATACCTTGAAGTGGGAGCCGCCCTTCCCGGACATGAAGCCTACCTTCAAGACGTACACCAAAAAGGCCATCAACGACGCCGTTAGCCTCATCAACGCGCCGCGCAGGACGGCATCTTACGATGTCCCAGGCGCATGGGACGCTCTTCTCGCCGCCAAATCCCCCAAAGACTTGCTCTCAAACAAAACTCTCCTCGCGGCGAGGGCGGACGTGAACGCAGAGGTGGAACGGTGCACCCATACGCCTCCGAAGTTCTCCTCTGACGGACGGGTGGCCGTCTTCCGCATCAGCTCCCAGGCGCAGGTTCACCCGGTCATTGCAACGCGCTGGGCGGGCCACCTGTCTTCGGCCAGGCTGGAGGTTGTGCTGGTTGCGAACGAGGGCTATCTACCTGATTTGGTCAACTTCTCGTGCCGTATACCGCGTTGTGCGAGGGCGAAAGAGCCGCCAGTGAACATCATCGAGGTGTTGAACGAGGTTGCTGCCAAGTCGGAAGACGCAACCCTGCGAGAGAGGCTGGGACACTCGTTTGCGAGGGGTCATAAGGAAGCTAGCGGAGGCATCGTACCGAAGGCCGAGTTTGAGGAGCTGATGGCCGTGATGAAGGTTGGGAAGAAGGTCGAACGGGAGTCACCAAAGAAAGCGAGAGACAAGCCGGCACAGGGGAATACTTTGTTGAATTACTTTGGCAAAAGCTGAATCGCTATCAATCATCATCCAAGACTACTAAGTCTATGGGAACATCCCTCTCGGCGCATTCGCCTCCAAACCGTCCACACGCGCCGCCTTGATAATGATCCGGCTGAGCCCATCGTCATACGTCACCCGCGGCTCGTCCTCATTGATCGCATACGGATTCATCCACTTGGCCGAGCCATCGCCCTCGCTGTTGAAGTGCCTCCTGATGGCCAGGCTCCAGCTGAAACTGCTCATGCTCGGCCCACTGAAATAGCTCGACCGCGCGAGGACCTCGTAGTCAAGCGCGCCCTGCTGGTCCCACGACATGTTCCCCAGCGCGGTCGCGAGCGCGGGCTCATCCAACAAGTCGTTCTTGCCGACGACGATGATCCCAGCCTTCTCCTTGGCCTTGACGGCGAACCGCTCAATGTCCTTCTTCTCGCCTGTCGCGACGTAGATCACACGCAAGCCGAGCCCTCCGCACGTCGCGATGTGCCAGTCCGTCTGCCCGTCGAAGCCGGCCTCGGCCTTGAGCCACCCGCTCCGTGCCGCGTCGTCCTCCGTCCGGAGGTGCACGCCGCAGTACGCCCCGCGGGGGATCTGCTCTCGCGGGTCGAGCGTCGACGCGAGGTCGAAGCGCTCGCGCATCGTCCACATCGCCTCCGCCGCGAGTTCCCTCACGGAGGGAGTTACCCGCACCAGCCTGCCGAGCGCGGTGCGCAACCCTGGCTTCGCGTAAAAGTCAAAGCCGAGGAAGCCCGCGGTGATGGGCACCAGCGACGGCGTGTTCTCGACGTAGTCCTCCTGCGACTTGAGCCACGCGTCCAGACTAACCCTGACGCCTTCCTCCGTCTTGTCAGGGCTCTTGTCCGACCGTGCCCCGGGAACGGTGAACTCCCCCTTCAGCGTGGCCTTCACAGGTGCGTCTTCGGGCGTCGGGTAGATCTTCATCTGCGGGCAGTGCTCTCCCATCTGGCGCAGGAACCACTCCTTGTCGAAAAGGTTGTCGTAGTCATAGTAACCGTTGCTCTCGTCCATCCAGTCGAGGTTGGCGTCGGTGCGCTTGACGTAGGAGGGCATCACGATGTGGACGCCGAAGAGCATGGCTTCGTAGAGGAAGTCGAGGATCGTGCCGCGGACGTTGCCGAGCCCGCCGCGGGAGTGGCGCATGTGGAGGACGATGTCGTCGCGCCACGTCGTTTTGTTGCAGAGCTCGAAGATGCGGGAGCCGTCGAACGGGCCGCCGAGGTCGTTTTCGAGCCACTGGGCTTGGAAGGCGGCCTGGGTCAAGGGGGACTGCAGGGTTTCTTGCTGTTTTGACCAGCCGCTCCCAGAGTTGCTCTGGTGGTCGGAGACGGGTATCAAGTCCTCGACGTTGGCGGAGGCAGAGTAGCGGTCATCGTCGTCGACTGGGGTAAACGTTGCTCCCCGTCGTATTGAGAGGGCGACGGCCCAAAGGACGACGACGGAGAGCAGAAATGGGGCGAGTTTACTTAGTAGAGACATCTTTGACCTGGGCCATGTTGACGGGAGGCGGGAAGATGGAGGGTCGGCTGTCGGGGGAGGGCACATATACGTCTCCTGATCGACTGAGATTCAGCACACCTTCGGACTACGCAGCCTGCCCGTCATACAGGAGGGTGATTTCGGAACGCTTTCAGCATCTTTTGCCCTGGAATTCCTCGCTGCTTCGCCGGCTGACACCCCCTTGGAGAGCCGGAGGAAATCACTCGATGCCAAGTGGCGCACTCGTGGAATCCCATCCTACAGCTACTTCAATCATCATTCGCTTCTGGGCGAGCTGCCCATTTTCACGACAACAGAACACCCCGGCCCGAGTTCAGTGTCCGGAAGTGGACGCCTATCATGTCGATCCCGCTCCATTGAGGCCTCGTCTTTCTCAGAATCAGCTAGTCGAGCGTTGAAACCGAATGCAGGACCTTGCGACCCTCGTCCATCATCATCATTTCATCAGTGCCTCGTGGGCGGACTACCCTTCGCATGACATCGACTCCCCGGGCCGAGTTTAGTATCCGGAAGTGGATGTGAACCCTCTTAAGAGACCGTGTACTTTATGCTTCTAAGCAGACGTTGTAGGAATGTAGAAGCAGCGGGGCTAGAAGCCCGATGTCTCGGCCGTCAGGGAGAATCGGCAAGCAGACACTCGGGTTCCAAGACGGACGGCACACTTTACTCAGCATCTCTTTACAATCCGTCATTCTTTGCTCTCTAGTAAATTCAAGTTGTAATACCAACTCTCCATTCTTTAGAAGCCAACGTATGTCCTAGATACTTTTCCAATCTTTGGACTCCACCATGCTTCCAGGTGTCCTAAGCATAGTACGGTAGGTACGACAACCTAATGGAGAGCGACGGTGCCATCCATTTCGGACCTCGAGTTGCAGCGGCCGTAGACCCCGCTACTAAAAGGCCGGGTACTTCTCAAGCCTCGCTAGTTGAGCGTTGCGATCGATCTTGGTCTTTTAGAGATGACGAAGAGTGAGACACAATACTGAAGTTTTCCGTTTTCGGAACCGAATCACAGGGATCTGGTTTAGGGACAGATCTACCCACGCTTTCCACTTCAAGCCTAGGATAGTGTCTCGCAAGGATGTAAAATCAGCCGCACACGAGTGGAAGAAGACCTCCGAGTCGATCTTGCTGTAGCGCCCTCACCACCGTTGAGAGCTAATGTACCTATGCGCCGATGAATATGAATAGCTGTTGCCATTTGCACTAGGGAGGCCCAACTCCTACGTGGCTACCAATACCATCCTCAAATTCATCCTCGCGTTAGGCTTTTGAAGACAAAAAATGAATCACAAAGAGTAAGTGAATGGGGAAGCAAGCTTGGGACTTGTCGTTCTGAAAAGAAACGTTGCGATGTCTCTGCTACAAATATGATTGTGTCTCGAGGTGATATATGAGAATAAGCTGCTTGAATAGTGCACATATCCAAGAAGAGCCTTGTGTTGTTTTTCTTCATTCCGGCCATGTCCCCTGAGCTTGCGTGAACGACCTCAGGTTCTTACATGAGCTTGGCTATCCTGGCGGGTATTTCTAGCTATCTGGGCGGACAGTGTACATTGACGATATCGGGAACGACGACAACAACGATAGAGACGAGAGAGGCAATAGAGATAATAGGGTTAGTAGGTGTCATGATAGTCATAGCAAATACAGCATAAGGTTCTGATCTTCTCGTTGCCAGTCGCCAGTAACCAATCGCCAGGGTACATCTGCGTGGCTGGCTGTATGCTAACGGCGCGCGCCTCTGGCTACTGCCATTGGCGGTAAAAGTGAACTATTTGTAATGCCAAGAAACCAGCAGAATTTGGTCCATATAGCCAGCACCATACGACATCCAGCCTGTCTTAGCCACAGGCGTGAAGGGGGATTTTGCACAACATCATGACTAGAAAGTCCTTAATCTGAAGGGATAGAGTGCCCGTATATACGAACAATTGGGGTAATTATGCTGCTTCTAGCACTGGTTACTGACGACTCGCAACCAGAAGATCAGAGCCTAAACGAAATTGGAGATATCACGAAAGAAAATAAAAAGCTTTTAAAACAAGTGAATTGGAATTGAACCTGAAAATATCAGAGATCATTTACGTTCCAGAGCCTTTTTTGATTCTTAGTGAAGCAAATGAGCTCAAACATTGCCCCAAATGCCTCGCCCAAACTTCTCTCGCAGTCCGTCCTTCAAGCCGGCATGGTGAAATCACGAAGATTGTGAGGGAGTAAGCCTGAGAAGGATACCAATGAAAAGTACGGCAGTAGAAGTGAACAGAACAGATCGGCGTGTTTCTCAGAGTATGTATCGGAGATGATGCTCCAGCCCCCTCATCATATTCTCATCCACCCATCATACCTATCCACAAACGCCTCATACCCGCCCTGCTGCCCTGCCATCCCGCGGCCTGCCTGCTCCATCTGTGACATGCCGCTCCCTGTCTCCCTCCCATACTCGCCATGTTCCCAATGCCCCGTGAGATAATACGGCTTCACCCTTGGAACTCCTCGGCGACGACTGGCCACCATCGAGGACCTCGTCGTCACAGCTGCCGGACGGGGTGGCCTGTAGTCGTCATCGTCAGCGTAGCTGTAGCTCCGCCGCGAGGGCAGAACAAGGCGGAAACATAGACAACTGCATTCCCCCATAGCTAGATTTCTCCGCGGCTTCTTGCAAAGTCTGGACGTAGGTAGGCGAATAGACCTGAGAATAAGTTATTCAAGAAATGTCTTCTTTCGACGGCCCATAAACCAAAAGAATGATCTAAATCACGGCCGTAAAAAGATATCAAGGTCTTCTCGCAAAATATAACATTAAATAACCCCTCAAGCAACATCTGCGGAACCCCCGCCCCTGATTCACGACGCTCTCCCCATAACCAGATACGCGAATCTGCACCTTTCTTATTCCAACCCAGCTACTTACTGTACATGCAACCCAGTTGCATCGAATCACTGAATCTTACTTACGTAAAAGTTAACCGCCAAAAAGAAACAACCCGTTTCCAGCCCTCAGCCTCGTCACTGGGCAACTTCAATCCCTTGCAGTCACAACAGCCTCAGCAGCAGCCCGGAAAGACTCACTGAAAGCATCGATCGTGCCGTGCCGTGCCTACAGACCACCTCGAGAGAAGCTCAATTCATACTTACAACCGACTTCAACGAAAACCACAAAAACCTTATGAAAAATTACTAACGCCTGTTCAGCAACACATCGAAGAGCTCAGCCTCGAAAAGTCGTCGCACTCGCACATCGCACTCGCTGCGACGACCCCCGGCGCAGATCCCGCGCCCGAAAGCGGGGGGATCGCCAGCCAGGGTTGACAGGCACAGGTGGAGGCTTCGCACCCGGGGGCACCCCGCTTTTGGCGTTGGTCGGTTGTCTGCATCCGGGCCGTCGAAATGCGGCAGAGGCCCCACCAAGCCCTGCTGCGCGAGCCCGACGGATTCGCCGATCGCCTACTTCAGGCTCAGGGGAATCGGTGAAGTTGGTTGGCGTCATCCATCGGTCATTTCGATCAGTCAAGGCGCAAGCAAGCGTGCACAGCATGTCAATGGAGAAGACCAGGATTGTGGTTGCGCCAAAGCACGTGGTATCAAATTTGAACTGGGTATGCCTATGCTGGTGTTGATAATAATACAGATACAAAATGGTACGCTGTATATTTTGCCCAGCTCTGGTTGCTGTGTGATGCGTCTGAACGCCTGTTCCTGGTCCTGATTCCCATGTCCGTCCTGTTCCTTTTCCGTAATGCCCGTAATTTATGCTGCAATCGCCCTGCGTTGAGAGATACGATGTCCCCAATCGCGAATCTTCCTAACAAAACTCCTCTTCAAAACAATAGGTTCGGGTGCTTTCTTGAGACCGTCCAGGTCGTCCGCCTCCATGGCGTTGCCGGCTGTGACTGATTCGCCGCCCATCTTCGTTTGCCGCCTATGCATAAACGCAGCGCCGGATGAGAACGTCCTCTTAGGCATGACAGGCGCCAGCTGGGCCATAACCTGCTGCTGCGCCAGAGGCGGCGAGCTGGGTCGGCAGAGTTCCGAAGACATGACGGGGAAGGTTGAAGCTCGCGCTCGCTCGGTGACATTGCTCATGGTACGGGAGTGGGCAGGACGAGTATTTGTCGCGTTGGTACCCGACGCTGCCGCCCAGCCTTGGCCGTGACGCAACGATACCCATACAGAGGTGATGGTGATGAGCAATCTGGTGGCTTCATCGACAGGATGCGTCTCCCGTTCGGTGCTCGACAGCGCCAACTGGGGTGATTGTGATGGCTCGTTGTCGCCACTCATGTCCATGCTGAACGGACGAGTAGGGGGGTATCGACCAGCAGACTGCGTGACGGTCGTGTAACTGTCGAGGATTTCGAGGTTGGCAGGAGTCAAAGTCGCCATCACCGGGTGCCTTCGCAGTTGGGGGTCGAGAATGCTGAAGGTGAACTTGTAGTCGGCCGACGCCGCGGTTGCCGTTGTCGCGGCGGCACATGTCGCGGTCGAAAGCGGCCTCGCCGACCTCTTTGCCCATCGGGCCGTGGTTGTTTGGCCAGTCTCATCGACGTGAACAAAGTCGTAGGAACCGTTACTGGTGGGAATAGCCGTCCATACCGCGCCGTCGCTCAAGACAATCTCGGCCTGATCGGCGGATTCCCTCCGCTCGCCTTCCCTGCGGTCGCTCAGCGGAGTGATGACGGCAACCAAGTCACGCTTGTCCAGATCCTTCTCATCTCCGTCCGAATCGTCGCCCGGAGTGTCGTAATCCTCACTCTTCGCCAAAATGAGACCGTTCATGCCCAGCTGGCCCTTTACTCTAAACATCTTGGGAAATTGCCGAGCGAGACGAGGGACCATAAAGGTTCCGGCAATCGTGCTTGAAGGAAGAACGTCGATCGCAGGCATCGGCCGTCTGTCGCTCGAAAGCTGCTGGAGCTGGAGCAGGAGTCGAGGTCGTAGGTGCACGAAGCGACGCTGTTTTGTGCGAAGCTTCGGCGGAGGGTATGCCAGGAGGTAGTTGGTGCCTTGTCTCGCAGCGCGACGCGACCTCTTCGACCGCTTGACGGTGCTGCTGTCGCTGACCTCTGATACCAAGCTGCCCTCATCCTCGCTAACGCCGTCCAGGCCGACCTGTGATTCCTCGCCTACAACCGTAGGCTGCTCTTCAAAACGTACTGTCAGGTCCTTGCGCGGGAAATAATCCGAGACAGGGCGATTCCTGCGTACGCTTGGGCGAGGGGCTGGCACAGGGTTCTGGAGTGACAGGCGGCGGTTGGGTCGGGTTGTGCGGTTGTCGGTGTCGTCGTTGGAGATGGACGTACGCGGCAGAGGGGATGCGCCAAGCGACGAGCGCAGGAGGATTCGTCGTCGCGCAGGCTGAGGAGCATTTGTAGGTTTGTTAGAGTATTCGTGCCCATGCAGGCTAGCGCCCGAATGGAGGAACATGGTTATTGTTAACTCGAACTGGTTGTAATCGGTGTTGAACTCATGGACGCCGTCGTCGTAGACAAGCCGACTCGTAGAGCTGGAGAATACTGCAGCTTTAGTATGTTCCCCGCGTTTCCCCAGTCGAAATGCAGCGTCGCACCAACAGGGCAGTGCAGGCTGTTATCTTTTGAGGGTGTAGGGATGCTGGTTCGGAAGTTCGTATGAATCGGGCGAGCTCCCCACTTGCCAGGTGGTCAGGAGGGGTGATGCAGCTCGCTTCTGCTCAAGGGGCCGGGTTTGCGTCAAAGTGGTTTAATACCGCAGATGAGCACCTTTGATGAAGTGTGCCTGACGTCTGATCGATCGCTGGGATTCAAACAAATGGTCGACACGACGACAGAACGAACGGTTCCGGCAGAGGCGTTGCCAGAGAACAAAGGAAGATGATGAAAAGGGGGGTGAGACGGGATGTCTCTGGGTTTTAGCTGTAAATGAGCGTCGCCCTACAAGTAGTGGGCTAGTGGTCTAGTGGTCAGCCCAGAGAACCCTTCTTCGTTGCGGCTCAGCGAAGCTGTCCTTGAACGATATTAAGACGAGGGAGGAGTGGTGGGCTTTAATGGGCTTGACAGGCTTGACTCGTAAGCGGTCAGTGGCACCAGGACCCAGTATTTGGGCGTCCGAGGGCGCGGGGTGGGCTGAGCTGAGGTGATGAGGGTGGACAAAATAGAGAATGGCGTACCGGAATCCGAAGGAATAGCGGACTGGGTCCAATGGGATGAGAGCCCGGTATGGCGGGTTCTCGAGGTGCCGGGAAGAAGAAGCGGTGTTGGATCCGTATGCAGCAGATGCGTGGCAGATGTAGATGCCTGGTTGAGCTGGATCGAGCAGGTCGGGGATTCTTCACCGCAACGAGTGTGACGATGTTCGCAGGCGCACCGGACGATATCGGCAGTAGACGTGTTGTTTCGAGGTGATATCGTCGTAATGAGGATGTAGGGCGCAGGCGAGTCTGGCCTGGGAGGGCTGGCAGGTAGTAGGGTTGGAGAGTTGGAACGGTGAAAGTGGGAGAAAGTGGTAAAAGAGAAGGCCGCCAGGGTCCAGATAGATGTAAGTAGGTAGAGAAAGAATTGCAAATGCAAGGGTACCGGCAGGCCAGGCGAGGTGATGTAGGTAAGGTACGTCCGGTTGTGAGCAGCCGTCGGGGTCGAGGTCAGTGGGCTGTCAGATGTACGCGCAAGGAAGGTCTTGCAAGTGAAGTCACACACAGGGAAGCTTCAGTCGGTTGTTTGGTGTGGGTTGAGCTGATGGAGGGACGGAGCCGGAAGGGAAAGGAAATAAGGACGGTGGAGGGCCCCTCTTCTTTTTTCCCCTTCCTTCTTTTCTGCTAATGTGCTTTCTGCCAACTCCGGCAGCCGAACTGCAGACCCAGGTGCTGGAACAGTGGAAGAGAGTTTGTGTGCCGTCGGGGTGAGAGGGATTCCCTGTCCTTTTTTTGGGATCCAGAGAGCAGCAGACGGGAAGCAATGGTCGCCGTCCGGTACGTACTGCGTGTGCTGTGCTTGGCTGGTCCCAGTAGTGCTGGTACGCGTGGCGTCGTGGTGGTGTTGTACTTGTACTTGTTTCGTTTCTTTTGGTGTAAGAAGGTAAAGAAAGTGTGCTTGCCGCCTCTGGGGCAGAAACAGGGCGAACCAGTCTGCCAAAGAAGAGAGATGGATAGAGAGAGATGGAGAGAAAAGCGTTTGCGTGAGACGACGATGCGAGGGAGAAGAAGAGAAGGAGGAGGAGGAGGAAAAGAGAGAGAGGAATGCGGGAGAGGGGTACGTAATATTTGGTGTGCGATGGGTGACGAGCCAGGTACCTTGCCTTTTCGAGCAGGAGGACCACGACGACGAAGACGAAGACGACGACGACTGCTGCCAGCGGGGGAAGAAGGGAAGGGAGGGGGGAGATGGGGGGCCTGCTGAGGGGGGCAGTGGGCGGTGGGCAGTGTGGGCACTGGGGGGAAAGGGCGGTGCGGTGCAGGCGGGAGGTGAGGTGCGCTTTTGGGGGCAAGACCCGGCCGACTGGGTGACTGGGCGTGCTGCTGTGATGCTGCTTATGCCGTGCTGTGCTGTGCTGTGCTGTTGTGTTGTGCTGTGCTTCGTGCCTGTCAGTACTAAAGCTGCGTCTGTCACCTGCGTCGCAGTGGGTGGTTCAGCGAGGGAATTACCTACCCAAGTCCCAGATGAGGTACATACCTCCACCAACAAGTCCTCTCTCCCTCGCTCCGTGGACCGTCACAGGCTCTGCTCGGTGCAGGCGACAAGCCTTGCAGTAAGGGGCTGGAGGGATACGTACTGGCACAAGGCGTGGTACGTACTCACCTCCTCGAAGCGGAAACCAAGGGGAAGGATTGTGGAAGCGCACGGGGCTGTGGATGCTTGAATGTAGGCTTATTGCAGGCTTGCCTTGCCGGCAGGGCAGAGAAGAATGCTCTTCATTTCTCCCACGCCAGACTCCAAGCCCGTTCCCAAAACTCAAGACGCCCGTTGTCTCCCACTGAGGTGGCACTCCTACTATGCAGTAGTTGTTTGGTGGCTTCTTCTCTACTCGACCTAGGTAGACATGGCCTAATCTGCAGCCGTGGTGCGAACCGCATAGCGCCCACCCAAGGCGCTCGTTCGTGCAGGCGCCAGTTCCAAGCCATGAATACGCTCAATCCCACTTGTAAGCCGCGAGGTGCACTGCACTAGAGCAGCTTGTTTAGCTGCCTCGTCTCGCTCGTCTCCGCCATCTAGCGCACATCGGTCGGATTTGAGACTGTCTTGCCGTCGCCTGGCCGTTTGACTCCTCGGCATCCGCGACTGCCATTGTGGTGCTCTGCACTCCTTGTCTGGTTTGCTGGTCTGGCCCTCTCTCGTGGAATGTGCTGCGTGTGGTATTGGTATTACTCAACTCCCACCTGTGCCGTCTGTTGTGTTGTGATTTGTGTACCTCATGTCGCGGCACTTCCTTTCCCACTGCTGACCACAGTCCACAACTCTCTTCGCAACTCAAAATCAGAAAAAATGTCATCGACCAGGCACCGCTGCTTGCCTCCACTTCGTCTCTGCGTCGGCTCCTCGGCGAACTGCGAGGCCCCAGATCAGACGGACGGGGGTCACAGGCCAGACTCCAGCGCCCCAGCCTCTTCTCCTCCTGGCTCATGTGGTCAACAGTTTCCGCTTCCACCTTTGCGAGAATTGTGCAGTCCTGTCCTGTTGTGCGAGGCGCCGGAAAAGTAAATGAACCGGCTGGTTTGGATGACATTGTTTGGGGCGACGCGGATAGGACAGGCTGCTCGTCGCGGCTGGTGGTGTCTCCAAGTTTCTTCTGATCCCCGCGACCATTCTCAGTTCACTTCTGTTGCCCCAGTAAAACACGGCTGCCGAGAGGGAGGTGCCCGGCGAATCGAAGACGCCCTCTCAATCTTCAGATCGTCTTGTTTCTCAACTCGTCCACTGGGTGTGACCATGGAAGCTTGCTGCTAAATTGAGACCTTGGACTTGGGGCTGCGCGTCCCCTCTAGTTGTCGAGGCGGAAGGGATATCCCGAATGCAGCTACTGCGGAGCTGCGTGCTCGCAAACTCGCCAGCAGGGAATGGCCTTGAGCTGCACCCGCGCAATTCGTTGCAAAAACAACACGGCCATCATGGGCCGATTTGGTTCTCAAATCCGGACGTCCTGGTATCCGTCTTCTCATGTCAGTCGTCATCGGTACTCACCGTCGCCAATCCGATAGACAGACCACTTTGACGACCCTGATATGCCAGACCACCCAGGAATCAAGGCAGCGGGTGTCAGTCAGATGCTCAGACCGTAAACCGGATCGCTGGAGCCCTTCACCACGGCCTGCCGTCTGCGAACAAGCAGCCAATGGCCGCTGGAGCCAGGTGTGCCACCCCGATCGGACACTACCTGCAAATACACACTCAGGCTGCAGCTCGCGTGGCCGCTGTGGTGTGGTGGGTTCGTACTCGGATTGGGCAGCGGGTAGCTCGGGGTCCCCTTGCAAACCTCGAGCTTGGTACCGCACAAGCCACCACCCGTCCAGTAGCGTACCAAAAATCCTTCTTGAACAGATGCCAGCCGCTGGGCATCCCAAGTCGGCAGTGTCAAAGTTGTGTAATAATACTGCTGGAACAGTACTAATCAGCCCAATGCTGCGTTGTACTGATGAAGATAATCTGCTGGCTGCTTGTCGTCGTGGCTGACGCTGACCTGGCGGCTTGTCTACCTTAGTTGACTTTGAGACTGGCAACAGGCCTGTGATGCACCGGCAACACCACTTCGTTTTTGATGGTGTTTAGCGACGTCTACGTGTGGTGACGAGCCCGATCGTGGACGGGCGGTTGGCCTTCCAGCCAGACTCGACGTGTGAGACGTCTCGAGCGGATAACCTCGTTAGATCAGACCGTCCACTGATAGGCGTCCGCACCTAATGCGGTTGGCAAAGCCAAAAGGAACCCGAGGATTTAGGGTGCTCTGCTAGGCGTGACACGTCGCTGGGCCCATGGTTGTTGGCAGCCAGAGCACAGAGTTCACTGACATGTGGAAGGCTATTGTCTCTCTGTATCAGGCGCTTGTTTCGACCTGCAGTTGACAATGGTAGTGCCAGGCGTGCCTGGCTGCTGATGTGGTCGCAGACGCGCAGTAGTCGCTCATAGTCTAAACAGGATAACAGTTGCGATGCCCAATTGCAGACTCTGTTGCAGCAGCCCAACAAACCAGACGGTCTGGACTTGCGGTCTTGTGAAATCTCAGCCGTGATGTGCCCGTGCTGTTGTGGTGCGGTGGAGAGCGGGACGCGAGACTAGGGCCTGTCAACGGCGGAGACAGCAAGCTGACCTATCGAACAAGACGAAAGCCCCAAAGCATGTGTACTGCGTAGAGGCAGCTAACATTGCACCATTAAGACCCCATTGGCCGAGAAATAACAGAAGAGGTGCGGCGAACGCGCGCAGACTCGGACTCGGCTTCCCGAGATTGGCGGGGTACTT